GGCTGTGGTTGAATTTTATGGTTGGGAGTTTTTCGAGTTGGACAAAGACACTATTTTACATTTTAGTTGATTTGGGTATTGATGAAAACTCAAGGTCATTGGAGCGGGTGGTTTTCATTTTGATGAATTATCAATTTTAATTTTATTTAGTTCTACCGACAAAAGTTCGAGAAGCGCTTCTTGGGAGAAACGGAGAATTACTACACCACTGAGGCAGATGATTTCCTTCAACAAAATTCATTCACCGAATACATGAAGAAGGCATTTGAGTATATGAGGATCAAAATAATGGCACGTTTAGATTGAAAAACGCTTGAACGAAGAAGCAGAAAGATGCAACTTCTATCTTCATGCAACCACGCTTCAGCCGCTTTCTCAAATCTGTGAAACAGTTCAGCTCTCTTTTTTTTTAATCACCAGCCCTTAATTGTTTAGGTTTTCATCCAGAGAAAGATTGAACTTTTCCAACGCGATTTTGGACCATTGCTTGAACAAGAACGAGATGATGATCTTGCCAGAATTTATCAGGTAAACGGTTCTTGATGTGATTCTTTTTTTATTATTTCACTTATAGCTATGTGGCCGTATTGAGCAAGGACTTGAGGAACTGAAGCTGGCTCTTGAGCGTCACATTACGCGACAAGGACAGAATGCCATTGATGAAATTGCCAAGAAATCACCAAATGTGGGTTTTTCTTGGTTATATCTAATTGGCTACATTTTAGGATCCACGTGAATTCATGCGAGGAATTTTGGAAGTGCATATGCGCTACAAAGGGCTCGTGTCAAAGTCATTTCGAGATGAAGCTGGCTTTAAAGAAGCACTTGACAAGGTTTGGACTTTAACCTTTTAAAATTGAGATCAGTGGTAATTCGTAACCTATGAGATTCTAGGCTTCTTCCCACTTCATCAACAAAAATGCTATCACTAAGATTGCCGGAAATAGTTCTTCGAAGGTTCCCGAACTTATTGCCAGGTATAATTCTAGTGAAGCTCTGCTATATTGTAAATTTAGATATTGCGATCTGTTGCTTAGAAAATCCAAAGATAACATTGGAGAAGCCGAAATGGAGGAACAGTTGCAGAATGTTGTAAGTATTGAAAATTTGGACTCCGGTGTGATGCGACTTTGATAATATTCTGAGACTTTAGATCGCGGTCTTCAAATATATCGAGGATAAAGATGTCTTTCAGCAATTTTACACAAAGATGCTCTCCAAACGGTAATATTTGCAAGAAGATTGATCTCACAGTTATCGTTTAGGCTCATTGGTGGACTCAGTGCTTCAGACACAGCTGAATCCCAAATGATCTCAAAATTGAAGCAAATGTGCGGCATCGAATACACCAACAAGCTTCAACGAATGTTTACGGATACAGAGCTTAGCAAGGTTTTTCTAAACCCAACTCCAATGACATCTCAATTTAGAATATTACTGAGAATTTCCGCAAAAATTGTCAAGAGAAAGACATTGCACTCGGGTTGGACTTTGCAATCATGGTTCTCGGATATTCCTCGTGGCCAAGCATGCCACAACTTCAAATGCAGGTTTGTGTTGAGGCCTTCCGTTGAAGTTTAGCTGTCTTTTATTTAGATGCCGTTGAAATTGTCTGAAACTATTGAACACTTCAAGAATTACTACAATACTCAACACAATGGGCGCAAATTGAGCTGGATCTATTCGCAATCACGAGGCGAGCTTTCCAGCACCGGTTTCCAGAAGAAATATGGTTTTCAAGCATGGACAGCTCAAATGGGTAAGTTCGAGTTCTTGTTATGTGTTTAAATTGTTCAATTTAGCTGTTTTGATGCTCTATAATGAGGCTCCGAAACAGGCTTTGAATCTCAAAGAGATGATGTTACAATTGAACATGCCCAAGGACCAACTCGTCCCTGTCGTTGGATCGCTTCTTAAGGCAAGTCTCCTGATTGTCACAATCAAAGCAGGCCTTATTTTTAGAACGATCTTTTGAAGTGTGGTGATGTAGCGGCCGGTACAGAAGTTGAGAACGAGATTGCTGATACCGCTGTCTTCGCGCTTAATCCAAACTTCCAGAGCAAGAAGATCAAAGTGGATTTGACAAGAACTCAAATGCGCTCTGAAGTGAAGAAAGAGGCAGAGAAAGACAAGCAATATATTGAAGAGGACCGACGACTCGTCACTGAGGTTTCATTTATAGCAGTAAAGCATGATTAATGAATTTTAGGCTTGCATTGTTCGAATCATGAAGACTCGTAAGCGACTTGCACACAATGAATTGATCTCCGAGGTAAGCAATGGCGAATGAAGTCTACTTTATTAAATGCAGAGAAAGTCCGATGAAGTCAAAATAAATAAAGACATACGTGTTTACTTTTAGGTTCTTCAACAGCTCTCCACTCGATTCACTCCAAACGTGATGAAGGTGCGTACGTCGATTGAGGGTCTCATGGAGCGTCTTTTCCTCAAACGGGCCGAGGATGCGATGAATGTTTATGAGTACATTGCCTAAAGAAACCTGTATATGCTATTTTGTGTTTTTTATGCTCACTTAAAATTAACCGGTGTTTATAGCCTGTATTTGCTATGTTGTGTTTTTTATGCTCACTTAAAATTAACCAGTGTTTATTTTTTTATTTTAGTGAGGATCGTAGACGCTATTTATATAATTAGAATTATACATCGCGAATTCCTTATTACTCGTATAATAAATGTTATACTACATAGAAATAGAATAAATGTTATACTACATAGAAATAGAAGCTCAACAATTGCTAATAATCCACCCTAGAGCAAGGGTATACCTGAGTACAGCATCTTGAACTCTTGGCTCTATCGATTAATGAAAGGACGTTTGAAAAGATGAACTGCCGGTGAAATTAACCGCTTTCATTATCGCGTAGCGACACTCCCCTTTTTGCTGCGATACTTAAGGATGCTTTCGGATTTGCACGCGCCTTTCGTGCCGAGGCAAACTTTTTCTAGGGCAACTTTTCTGTGCTGATTCTGAATATCTAGGTCGCTTGGGAGTGAAGGTGCTAAAATCTCGAGTTATTTGGACTTAAAGTTTACATCGAAATTTCAACGCAGAACCCCTAAACCAGATTGACTTTTGAGAGGTTTCCAAATGTGTGCTCGTGACCTAGTGGATAGGCTGCTAGCGGCCCGCGTTTTTCGTCTCTTGTTCGACACCCCGCTACGTTGCAATAACTTTTTTTCTTTTTGCTAAAATACACTTTTTCGTTTGTGAGTTGTTTATTAGAGGTGTTTATACAAGGTTTACATTTCTTATTTGTGTTTGTGTATCTGTGTGTCTGTATGTGCGCACTACTCCTCCGCACCCAGTTGGCCGTTTCAAATGACTTGACTTAGTTTGACTTAGAAGTCCATGTAGTTGTGCAAAAGTGCCGACTAACAAAACAGTGTGCACATCGAGCAAAAGTACTCGTCTTGCAATCAGGATCTCCATCACATTGTTCACGTATGTTATTGAAGGTGTGTATTGGTGTGATATAATCAGGAGGACGATTTTTTTACGTATCCTCCTTTATACCATGGATATTTGAGGAAATCCAGAAATTTTGGAGACTTGAACTTTTCATAAGCAACGCTTAAAACCTTTAAAATATTATCCCTCTTCGATAATTGAAATTCTTGTAGCTCTCGTAGATCACCTAGAGGATTTACCCGTGCTTTGGAAGAACCTCGAACTCTCCAGTAGGGAAATCGACCTCCTATTGGTATCTTGGGCACCCGGTACAAGAAAACAGGATGAGGGAGCCTTACGAGCATGGTCAAATCACTGTAAAAGGCTCGACAAGTGCCCTCAAGTCTCAAGCATTGTAGGATTAATGAACTATGTAACTACCATAAACGTGAGAAGCCTATCCTTTTCCTCGGTACTAACAGCCAAAGCAGCAATCTGCACTTATTGGGAAATGATTCCGGGGAAAAACTTTAAGAATAATCAAGAGATTTTGTCTCGGTTTATGAAGGGGGAAAACCTCTAACACCCAAATATTCGACAGTATGGGATGTAGCGATAGTGGTGGAAGAATTAAAAGCAGTGGGGCAGTAAAAAGCTGTTCTTGGAAGAGGTTACCAAGAAAACCGCTACCTTTCTGACAATTTGTAGCCCTCAGAGAGTCTCGGAATTGGCCCTGCTGGCTCTAAATCGTGCTAGTTTCTTTTCGGAAAGAGTAATGTTTGCTCTGGCTATAACCAAGAATAGGGACTCGGACTTGGTGACTAGCGCTTGTGCCTGTGGTATCGATTTCTGGCTCGTTCATGCCGGCGTTACGAGAATGATTGCATTACTCGTGCCGGATAATCTTACTATTCACTATTCACTAGGGTTTTGGTAAGTTTGATGAGAGCTTTGCTTTTGGCTGGTAGGGTGGACAGAGATGGCGCGATGGGGCTACCAAATACTCAGTAGTTTGCTCGGGTTCCGTTATGGACTTCTCCCAATTGATGGTAAACCCCAGAGAGGTGAGCACGTGTCATGTCATCGCTAATTAAATTTCCAGCAAATTTGTTTTATAGAAATGTTCGCTGACTTTTCGTGCAAAAAAGTTGGATGAATCCGAAAGGGAATATTCTATTATGTGATAATAAAGATTTATACACGCGTATCAAGAAACCAATCTGCAATAGGATCCACCAGATGACGACATTTGCAAGTAAAAATCTAAATTCCTGCACACCCCACCTAGTTGGCCTAATGCATTAAACTCTAATCCGCTACAGCGTAGGTGGTGTGTTGAGAAAAGTGCTCTGACACGTCTAGTCCAGGAGAGCAAAATTGTCATGCTAGATTGATGGTGCTGAATTTCTTCCTACACGCTACAAACAAAAACAACTTTTATTTATAACAAATAACGAAAACGAACGAAAAATAACTATTAAATGAAGTTCCACTCAACTAATTATAGATCTGATAACAAATACAAAATTAGGTAAAACAATGTAAAAGCAAAAGAAAACAAAAAATACCTTGCACGTCGAATGTATTCCTACTCCTTTTGCATCTTTTCCAATTTCGTTAAAACCTTCCAAGGATTTTCGGTCACGCATCTCTCTGATACCTCCAAGGCGCGGACTCGATTTGTTTCTTCCTCAAATATGGCCAGATAAGTCGGTTGAACGTACTAAAACCATATTATACTATATAAAGATAAAAACTCAAGAATTGCTATTTTTCGCGATTTTGTAAAGAAACTTGACATAGTCCAAATTTTCTCAAATTCACTCACCCAAGTGTTACAATCTCGATCTTTGCATAAGATAACAGGGTGATTTTGAGCCAGAAGCGTCCTGTGTGTGCAAAGAGACGGGTGGGCGGTTTCAGGTCGACCAGCGCTTTTGAGAGCCTGATACGATTTGTATGATTGACCGAAACGCTAATATACCATTATCCATTGTTTTTCGTCACGCGGCTGGTAGTGAACTAAAACAAAAGCGTTTATCTATTACAAAGCATCATTTACACATTACATTTTATATCACAAAAATAAACCTGCGTTAGCAGCAACCACACCCAAGCCGGCTTCGCCTTGAAGAGATGCTGTTTGTGGCCAAACTTCTGTCGTTGGTTTCTAGACAAAAGCCTATAAAATATATACTTCAGCTAACGTACCACGACACAACAACCCCGTAGATGTCTTACAATCGTTATCTCATTCAGTGTAGCAAAGAAGCACCTCTTGCAGAAAAAGAGTAAAGTCGTGTTGTGAGTTTTCTGCGCATGAAACAACAGTTCCGAATCCTAAATAATTGATTCTGGATTGCAGTTAAGAAGAGAATCCTAACTACATGTGCATACCTTTCCAAAGACTAGGTTATGCTCCAAGCAAAGCCATGGGATTCCGCCGACTTTCATATTTGCTTGATGAAAATTCCAGTGAGTTTCTGCGCTTCTTACGTTGAAGGCAACAAAGGAGCACAGTGGACAAACAATTGGAGGACTAAAAGGAGATCGATCAGTTATACGTACAAGGTTACCAGGAAGCGTGGGTAGAAAACATGTGTCTTTGAAAAAGTGGAAGATGATCGTAAACAGAGGAGCACAGCACGCAAATATAAAAGTCCAGACTTCTGATTAGCGGCATGCCATATTCCTTAAGTGATTGCAATACGTTGAAATTATCACCATTATTACTTACAACGTCAACTGTGGTGGTGCTACCGCCATCCAATCGATGTTTAACTGTAATATGATCATCACGTCCGTTTGCAGTGAAGAACTTTTCTGAGCATCTTGTACATTGATATTTCTTTTCTCTAACGCTAAGCGCACTTACGGGGCGTCCAACAGCGCTAAATTTCTTTAAATTAAAAAAAGAAAAACTCCTACTTCGTGTCGACTTCTTCAATCATACAATCAGCGTCGTCGCTCGGTGCGCGCACTACTTGTATTTGCTTTGAAATGGTTTCTTTTAATCGAGGAACATCCTGTAATTAGGAAATTAAAAGAGCACAGTTCATGAATCCGTTAATTTACATACCCCAAACAAACTAGTGATTTTAGTTATGGTGTTATTTATGTGAAGGTGCTCACCACAAGTATTATATCGTCATCATCCGCGTCCTTAGCACTTGAAGAATTATCTTTGGCCCCCACATAATTTGTTTCTTCTCGAATCGGTTCTTGCAATATCGACGTCAAATTGACAGCAACTAAAAATTAAGATAAATGCCGTAAACATTAAAAACCAACTTGACACTCTTCGTTTCAGAACACTTTGTTCTTCCTCGGTAAGATCTATAATCAATTCGTCCTCTATTTGTCGCGATTCCGTTTGATTTTTGGCTAAAGTTCCGCCAGATTCAGTGCGTAACGATGTGCTCTGGATATCATCAGTTGTAACTTAAAAAAACCATAAATTCTATAAGAATTCCAAGGATTACCGTTCTTCGGTTTGGCTATAACAATATCCAAATATGACTCCGTCTGAATGGGCGCTGGTTCTTCTCGTGGAGAAGTTGTATCTTCTGGCGTCTTTTCCGTGGTTGTCACATCGTTTGTATTAGAATTTGGCTCTGTTGAAATTACTGGATCGTCCTCTGGAAAGGGCGCCTCGGATGCTTTTTCTACCAGCGTTTCTTCGTTGTTTGCAGCTATAAAGAAAACGTTATGCGCCATGAAGTCTTAATGATTACCAATTCTTGTTTGCTCATTATCTGGATTTGACCGTGTTGCTGGAATGACTTCTTGTGGTTCCAATTCTTCCGGCAAGTTCTCCTGGATTTCGGTTGCTACTAAACACGATAGTGTTTAAGGTCAACGGAATAGAAAAATATACCATTTATCTCTTCGATCATAGATGTATCCATAGGCGTTGTTTGCATGGGTTCTTCGGATCTTGCTGCTGATGTAGAGTTTATCTTTTCCTTTAAATTTCCCATTGTTTCATCTAACGATTCAGAGAGTAAAAGCGTCTAAACTTTCTTCCACTTGCGAAACTCAAAAAAAAAGCGCCCGACCTCGAGTTGGAAAGCCATAGTAGGATTAGAGGTTCCATACGGTGATTGACGAGATCGACGAGGCAATTTTCCATTAACGAGTCCAAGCGTCTGATCGAATTGCATGCCAAGCGTCAGTCGAACCTTTGAGCTTTCTAAAATGAAAACATGGTTTCCTGGTTTTTCCCACTCATAAATGTATAAATTAATTAGCAGAATAAAGTTTACCTCCTTTTTCAAGCAAAACATTCGTTCCGATTTGATGCCTCGTGGCAAGATGAACTCGAAGTGAAAGCAAAGAGCATCCGTAGAAGCTGCATTGAAAGCAATGATACGCCTGTCTCGCGTTTTGGATTTCATGCATATGTACTGTGAAAACCTTAAATTTCCTGATGTAGATCCAATGAACGAAACTAACTTTTACAGAATCACGCGGATCTTCATTGGGTTGGCAAGTTGTCAGATGATTTGCCAAAGCCATTTCTCCGTGCACAAAGCAGTAGCAAGCCAAGCATAGATACAATCTAAACTAGTAGTTGGATTCCATTCTGGTCGAAACAACAAACTTTCCGAGCCTCTCCTCAGCAGACACTTTATTGTGGAAGCTGCTATTTAAAATGACGTCCTCCTGAAATCGTGCGATATGCTCTTTAAGCATCGTTGCTGCGCGCTCCACTCCACAGAGGAGCCGGATAGCTAAACGCTGTTTATTCTGAATTAGCTATAGTTTGTCCCTACTTTTGAAATCTTTATCGGCCACATTGCCACCAATTCCGTAAACGCTCAGGTCAACCGACCGCTCGTAGTCTGTATGAGATATTGTTTTTCGGATAAAGGTTCTCTGTGCCGTACTTTGCGTCCATACACCGTGTCTAGGAGTCTCTTCGGGTATCCCCTAAACCAATGAATCAGAATTTTATAAATATATGAAATCATTTAGCTTATTTTAATGCTTCAAAATTAATAACTTACCAGCTGAGTTCGAAATCGAAATAGTTCCTCTTGTTCCCTCCTCTCTCTTGCTTGCATTCGTTCAATAGTTAGCGACTGCTCACGGTCCGCCTTAATCACAAAATTTTTGTACGGTAATCAAATTTTACATATTCTTGAGACACTTTTTCAAGATTTTGAGGCATACGAGATCCGTTCATTTCGCATTGCACCGCTCCATCCCTGAACAAAAACATATTACAATACATTTTATCAAACCACCACAAAAGCGGCGCGGTTGTTGAAAGCCAATCTGCCAACAAAATCGAGTTTTTCGTGCGCTCATCGCAAATTTGGTAACATTTCAAGAGATGCTCACTAAAATCATATATTAGTTGAATAATAACGTTTTTAACCTTTTATTGATGCCAAATGGTAATGGTCTTTTGCATTTATGACATTCTTTTTGCTGAGTGTCAGGATGTTTGTTGATATCCGAAAAATGAGCTACAGCTTCTTCTGGAGAAGTGAATGGCTCGGTCCCACATTGCAAACAGGAACTCTAAAAGCATATATCGTTGCCTAAATTACTATGTCGAAAACTAACACTGAGTTGCCTTGCAAACGATGGCACAGTCTTGAACATAACTTCTGGATTCTTGTTTGGCGTGTGTCCAGCGAAGTTGACTACAATTGTAACGATTCGATTCACCAAATGTTCTTCCTGAACAAAAGTATGAAAACGGTTGAATCATTTTGAATTGGTGAAACTACATAATCACATACGACAAATTTTTGAAGACTTTCGATTTCACTCGATCGACAACGAAGGTACTTTCCGCAATCGGTACAACCCACGAATACTCGAGCTTCCACCATCTCAGGCTAAAAATAAAGATTTTTTTCTAAAGAGTAGTAGAGTTTAAAATAGACCGGTTGAAGTGACTTTTGTGCGTTTTTCCAGTCTCGAAATTCCTTGCATTCGTGAACATTCAGCAAGTGTGATGTAGTGAAAGCATGTAGACAAAAGTGACATGCATACAACACGGCATGTGGATGTGCTAGCAAATGTACCTAAAAAGTAACTGTTTTTAGATTTTTTGACTGGTACCCAATTGCATAGACATATTTATCGTTGCAAGCACGTGCACTACCGCGAGAAAACTTACAAGCGTCAATTTTGGCAATTCCTTCCCTTCGTTAAACTCCGAGCCGAAAAAGTCACAGAGTGGACAGCTTCCATCGTACAGATTCTAGATAGTAACATCATTTTTTACTAGTTATTGATTTAACACAAAATCACAGTTGAAACAACCTACCAGTTTAGTCATCAACATTTTGTGCTCAGTATGGCTTGCAAATACAAGCTCTGATGGATTGCTTCTGCGCGCGTACTTTCCAATTTCTTCCACATCAACCGGAGCCAGTCTGCCTATAATTACTTAGAAATTATTCTATACGTTATCGTTTGTAAAACAATTTAAAGAAAAGATGAGTCGTTTGAATCTTTCAATACCTTCTGTCGCCTCCATACATAGTCGTTTTGATGAACTTTTTTGACTGCGGTATTTCAATTCCAGCTCCAACTTTCTTTTGGCAGGTAGCAGATTGTACTAAAAAACACGTAAAGACTAAAGTATTTTATGAAAAATCGCGCTAAACATCAATTCCCACATTATGACGCAAAAGTCGGAGTGTTTCTTCTTCGCTTCCCTTTTTGTCGCCTTGCATTTCGTATCGATACCCGTTGTCCATGGTCGTCACTCTTAATAAAAATGTGTACTTGCTAGAACCTTTGAAAAACTTACTTTAATTTGTTTAAAGCTCTTTTATTTCTCTGCATCTCCGCTACATATTGACAAAATCCCGCTGGCATATTGTATTTCTTTCGTTGTTGCACTTCCTGAAAATTCAAGTGAAAGATATAGAACTCAAATATTAGCAACCTCTTGTGGCGTTGATGACTGAGCCGCAGTCTCTACCGACTCAGTCTGGACCCGGATAGCCATTGTTTCCTAAAAGATTAGATGTAAAGGGACTAGAATAAAGGACTATTGTTATTTCCCAGGTCAGAAAACAGCACATTAGATTTTGCATTGCCAAATTAGCCAGTCCAACTTTTAATGGCAAATAAGTGAAACCCGTTATACTTTGACGCTAACAAGCGTTCTCAATGAAAACCGAGATGCATTATACTACACAAGCTTAAAAGCTCAACAATTGCTATTTTCCGCCGAAAGCCACCGTTATCTCGTTTTAACTCCGTACCTTTAGCAAGTCACCGTTTTCGGTGATTTTCTAAAAGGCACTAGCGGCACCGTAGTGCGTACGCAATGCTCCGCGTCGGGATCGCCCTATAAAAGGCGACGCCCTTTCTCATTACCTCACTTTTTTTTTCGAGACAAGCCGTTTTCTCGCCGGTTTTTGAATAGCATCGCGGCGCGAACTATTCTCAACCGTTCATCATGTTCTCTTAGAACATCTACTCGTCATTTAAACGTTGGTTTCCTCAGAGGGGTCGACGTTTATACCTTCATTTCGCTTTAGCAGAACAATTCTTTTTGTTGTGTTTTCTCTTTCGAGCGTAAAGCTTTTGGCTAATCGGGAATGATTTGCCACGCTCAAGGTGGGGTAGATTTAGCTTGACGAGCCCTTTGGGTCGTAGCAAATCATTCCCGGGTGCCACCTTCAAGACCCCATAAAAAATCTTTTTTCTTTAGAGGATGGATACGACATCCACGCCCCGCCCGCGCCGCATTCTCGACAAAATTTGAGGTCGCCAAGATCGCGATCAAGAACTTCCTCGGAGGAAAGCTGTGACCGGTCACCAGCGTCTCTCTCTCGTTCTCGCTCAACGTCACGAGATAGGCCGATACAGGGTCCCGAAGGTCTACGAAACCGAAAAGAACTTTCCGAAAGCGCCGACTGTGGAACTTCAACCGGAACGGTCAATCTTTCCGCTCCCGGACGAGGCGGTGAAACATTTCACCATTCAGGCAGGAGGAAACGGGTGGCGATTATCGGATTTGAAAACGTTCCTCGAGAAGGTTCCGTCTCCACAGGGACATCACTTGGCACACACGTCAATCCTGGACCGCCAACTGTAATGAGACGCATAGCCGGGAAGGATGCAACTCTCAACAAGCATGGCCAGGACTTTTGACGAAGCCGTTAGAAGTTAGCTTGGTTGCGTCTCAATTAGCAAACACCTACTCTCGCTGGGAAACGAGAAGAAAGCCGTCAGTTACTTGGACACGGCGGAACACATTCTGGCAGCCCTTTGCTCCCCAGCTCACCTACCTGCAACGAGATAATGTGTTCAAGTAGGTTGATTGCTGTAAGTAGAGTATCGTTTCTCTTTAGAGCGCTACATCTTAACATCCACAACGTTTTGCCAGAAGCTGCAAAGGGAATCCTGGACGTGAAAGTCCACGAGGAGTCCACCCGCGGGAATCGTCCGCCACTGTTTGGCCCTAAGCTGATCAAGAAGCTCGAGGAGCGAGGAGGATCAGATTTAGTTTCAAGTGGGTGGCTTTTAAAAGTCCTTTCATGTCCACTTTTGTAAAAGTGTAAAAGTAAAAGTCCACTTTTGCCTTTAGAATTGAAACGATTACGCACACCAGCAAAGGACACCCGAGGAGCGTCATCGGGACAATGCCGCATAGAAGGGGGACCTCCCAGCAAGCGTCTTCGCGCGGATCGTCAGGAGCGCCAACCCGCACCGAGGTACAATTTTAATTTGTTACCTATTGGGGGAAGATTAAAACACTTCCAAGCAGCTTGGAAAGCGCTGACACCCTGCGAATCCCTACTAGAACCAGTACGGGGCTACCGGCTTAGATTTAATGGACCTCCCCCTGCTTTGACTCCAGCAGACGGCAGCGTAGAACCCAACGCCCAAGTAGAGGCTATTGCGGTAGAAGTTAATCAGCTGAAAGCCAAGGGCGCAATAGTAGAATGCAAAATTGGTGAACCGATCTTCCTTTCTCGGATTTTTACGGTCCCCAAGCCAGACGGGTCGCTAAGGCCAATTATTAATCTGAAGCCTTTAAACAAGCGACTACGACACACCCATTTTAAAATGGATACAGTCCGATCAATAAGCGAGGTAGTTCGCTCAGGAGATTTCCTGCTGAAACTAGACTTGAAGGATGCATACTTTCACGTACCCATCTGCGAAGAGCACACCCCCTACTTAGCGTTCAAGGTGGGAGCCAAGGCGTACAGGTTCACAGTACTCCCATTTGGGTTAAACGACAGCCCGCGAGTATTCACCAAGCTGATGAAAGTACCCATCAACTATTTGAGAAGCCAGGGAGTCAGATGCGTAGTCTATCTGGATGATATCCTCATAGCTGCCGCGTCTAGAGACGAAGCGATCCTTGATTTGAACTTGACCTCACAAACGCTGATTTCACTAGGGTTTACCATCAATTGGGAAAAGTCTTTAACATTCCCCCGACAATCAATTGAGTATCTGGGTCTCTGCGTGTCATCGTTGCCACCTACTCTAGCGATCCCGGTGCAAAAGCGAGAAGCTCTAACAACCTTAACCAGGGTCACGCTAGCGAGCACAGAGGGGAAAACAAAAACCCACTTACTCGAGACTGTAGTGGGAAAATTCGTGTACTACACCCAAGCAATCCCCTGGCTTGCGTTGTTCCTCCATAAGACACAAAGGAAGCTTACGTCCACCATTAGACGCAAAGGCCGTGACTCCTCGCTCCGAATTTCGGAAGACATGAGAAAAGAGTTACTAGAAGCCTGTGAAACCTTAGGAGACGCAGGGCCGCTATCAATGTTGACGCTATCCCATAATAGAATCATTAGTAGTGATGCTTCAAAAGCTGACTGGGGAGCCGTGTGCGAGGGACACAGCGCGGGGGGTCGCTGGACTAAAGAGGAAGCTAAGGCTCATATAAATTGTCTTGAATTAGAAGCAGTCTTTTTGGGCTTGAAGACCTTTGCTAAGGAGCTTCACAATGCGCACATCCTCTTGGAATTGGACAACACCTCAGCTGTTGCCTACGTAAACAGGTGTGGCCGCACCAGAAGTCCGGCTCTATCTCAGATATGGTCTTGGGCTCGAGAAAGGCATTTAACCATCGCAGCCACCCATCGGCCAGGCGCCCAAAACGTTGAGGCGGATTTCTACTCGCGAAATTTCAAGGATAATCTTGAAATTAACCTATCCGGGGTGGTGACCAATGGGCTGTTTAAAATTTGGGGCGTACCCACGGTGGACTTGTTCGCCTCCAGGATAAACGCAAAATTGCCCAAATTCTATTCTCTACATCCAGACCCGGAGGCTTTTCGTGTAGACGCCTTTAGATACAAATGGGACCACGAGCTGGCCTACGCTTTTCCGCCCTTTTCGTTAATCGGAAAGGTTTTGGAGAAAGCGGAAAGAGAATCAGCCAATCTAATTTTAGTCACCCCAGCATGGACAAACCAACGCTGACTGGCCGCACGCCTGACCACACAGCCACCACTTACCTTGAAGCCACACAAAGGCGTTCCCCTGTTGACAGACGCCCTAGACAATCCTCACCCGATCTTGCAGAAAGCGAACTTCGGATTATTGGCTTGGAGGATCTGTCCGCCCATTGGCGAAATCTCGGCCTCTCCACTAGAGCAGCAAGCTTGCTACTTGAGTCATGGGCTCCGGGTACTGGGAAACAATATGAGTCAGCCCTCAAAGCATGGTCACGATACTGCGACAGAGAGAATAAGAACCCCACCATCCCCAGCACGGTAGATCTTATGAATTATTTGAGCTCGATCAATGAAAAAGGATTGTCCTACTCAGCAGTACTCACAGCCAAGGCGGCTATCTGTACCTTTTGGGAGATGTTAACGAATCCCGAGGGCAGGCTCAACAGTGAACTACTAACGCGCTTTATGAAAGGAGTTTTCCGGTCGAAGCCCCCCCATGCCCAAGTATGCAGTGGTCTGGGACGTAGCGCTAGTGGTCAACAAAATTGTATCCCTGGGACCCAAAAATAAAAACCTGTCCCTAGAAATGCTCACGAAGAAAACTGTGACGCTGTTGACTATCTGTAGCCCTCAAAGAGTTTCGGAGCTGGCTGCGTTGTCGGTGGAAAACGCTACCTTCTTCCGTGATAGGGTAGTGTTCGTCCTACCAATGACGAAGAACAGGGGCTCGAGACCGGCTCACGAGATCATCTACAAAGGGTTCCCGGACAACAAAGCACTCTGCCCATTGAGAACACTCAGGCATTACCTAGACAGAACGGAAGCATTAAGAGGTCAAACGGGGCAAGTGTTGATTGCACTTAGAGTCCCACATCAAGCGGTTACCCCTTCCACAGTGGCACGCTGGGTTAAAGATTTCCTTGTCTTAAGTGGCGTAGATGAGTCGTTCGGGGCGCACTCGATCAGAGCAGCCACCACCTCTAAAGCAGCCAAGGCAGACGTTTCCCTACAAGCGATAACTAGAAATTAGAAAAGAGATTAGAAAAACAGCTCACAAAAAAGTGAGGTAATGAGAAAGGGCGTCGGCTTTTATAGGGCGATCCCGACGCGGAGCATCGCGTACGCACTACGTGCCGCTAGTGCCTTTTAGAAAATCACCGAAAACGGTGACTTGCTAAAGGTACGGAGTGAAAACGAGATAACGGTGGTTTTCGGCGAAAAATAGCAATTGTTGAGCTTTTAAGCTTTGTTTATATAATAAATATTATACAAAATATTTCCATATTTCTCGTATAATTTATATTTTACTTTATGTTTTAGAAAGAAACTCACCAAGGGCGCTTCCCTTTGATTCCGTGAACTCATTACCCACAATTGCTTCTAGATGATGCAATCTAAAAAGTTCTATAACCAATGATAAATGAAGAGAATAAAATAATGCTCAAAAATTAACAGAGCTACATAGTGGACGTAGAGGCTAAAGAACTGTCACAACTGTCAGGTGAGAGAGAGCAGAATTTGTTTGATATGGGGCATATTTGAGCAGCTCATGAGTAAGATTCGGGTAAATTCGCTAGGAAGGCCTGTTTCTACTACCCTATATGTACAGGACACATCACTGTCCGCGAAAATCCGCAACGTGTAAATGAAAATTGAAAAAAAAAGCAGACGCGACAAGCTGTACGTGTTCACAACCAATTGCGATCTACAAAAGTCTCTTCCAATTTCTATATCTAGGTTGTTTTTCATTTACAAAACGAGCATGAGACCTACTCAATTGAGTATCTTTTTCGAAACTACGCATTGACTCAAGGCGTGGGTTTATTTCATTTTCGGTTGCACTTTCTCAACATTTGTGTTATTTTCTGTTCAACACTAATTCCCTCAGACTTCTCTAAAAGCAAGTTGCTTTCTTGTTGTCCCTCAGACTTCTCTAAAAGCAAGTTGCTTTTGAGCCTGTTGAACGAGCCTGCTAACTTGCTGAAGGAATGCTTTAACGGCAATCTTTACCCCTCGGAAAGTGTTTAAAAAACCTAATGATGTGTTTTCGTTTCTTCTCTATCGACTTTGACCATATTCTATTGTTTTATTTTAGACTTCATGTATTCAACTGTGATTGATCGCGCACTCGACGAGATTGTCGCCGAGAAGAAAGGGTTAGTTTGTGTACTTGTTTGCCGGTAATTGTTATTTTACTTTAGCTCTCGTGGACGCAGCAGCGCAAAGGGTGGTGGTTCGTCTGGTAGTCATCGAGCATCCGGTTTCAGTGGTCGTTGGCAACATGACAGATTTGAAGGGGTGCATGACACGAGTCGTGATCGCAAGGGTGTGTACTTTAGTCTATTACTTGTAGTCGTAGCTCGACTAAGGTCTAACTTTTATCGTCGTAAAGCTACCTACGTTTCTTCAGTTTTTTTTATGTTCAGAACTATTTTTTGTATTTAGACTCGAGGCGCAGAGGTGGTATCAAGCTTCCCACCACTGTTGTCCGCATTCTTCTCGCCAATTTGTCGCCACAATTCAATCAGATTGACTTGGAGGAACTGGTGGAGCCTTACAACGGCAAGCATCCTCTCGTCCACTACAATGAAAAAGGCGAACAAGTTGGAACGGCACAAGTTTGTATTTTTCTGTTGCAATTGTTTTAGTTATTGATTTAGTTTGCCACCTCCTTTGATGACGCACAAAAATTTATGAAAGACCTTCATGGTGCGTCAATTGATGACAAGCGTCTCAAGATCACATTGGTTTGTATGTGTTGAAATAATTTTTTAAATCATTCTTAGGTTGATGATGTTTCTACTATAACTATCGGAACGGTTCGTGAGCGCATTAAGTAGGTTTATTTTGGGGATTTTTGAGATGCTCGTTCTAGGTTTGCTCGCGCTAAAGCTTCGCGGAGTGATGGTAGAGTTCACCGAACGATTCGTGGTCGTGTCAAGAAGTCAAGGAGCAGTGACAGTGGTGGACGTCTATCGTGGGATACTTTTTTAAGCTAACGTATTGAATTGCTTACCTTTTGTGCTTGTTTTTGTTGTCTGATTGTGATTATTAAGTGAGATAGCGTGTATGTGAATTACTAACATGTTTAATGTGTAAACTTTCAGTGCGGACCGACCTTCGTGGGACCAACACGATCACAGGGTAGTTTATATTAATTTATACCATAGCATTTGCTTGTTAAGGATCAAGCTGATGAAACCTCTGAAGTCAAACCAAAGCATAAACCATTGCCCACTTCCTCCAACAAATGGTCGCATAAGAAACTTTCTCAAGAGGTCTAATTCTTTGCGATGTTGCACAATCGTTTTTTTCTAGGAACTTGACCGTCAGCTGGACGAGTATATGAAACGGACGGTGGACCAGCAAATGGATTAGATGCCGAATTTTTATGAATTCTCAACCCTCGAATCATTATTACACTTATTCTTTATGTTTTCAACCGGTAGTTGTTGTTTATTTTGTTGATAAAATTTGAAAGGTTTAGTTGTTTTGGGGATTACAATTCAAATTTATTCTTTAAATAAATATGTTCATAAGGTATGATGAGATCACGGTTAGTTCCCAAAAGATTGCGGCAATTAAACAAATCGGTTCACAGCATCGTACCAGAAGCAACTCTTCATGTTTTCAAAGCGCTCATAGCACGAGATGTAGGAATAGTCGAGAAGAGTGACGTTGCCGGGTCGTTGATCGCAGAAAGTCAGACACTGGAATATAAGAGGGCTTTCTTCTGTCGTAACAATTCTACAGTGGTTGCTTATACATTTCTTGGCTAGTATTCTCTAACTAGTTCTGGTAAGTAAAGAATCTACAAAACGATTCGATAGTCATTCTGGCAAACCTTTCCACCGGCTAGCGTCGTGGTGACCCCATTTCGTGCACAACACTGTCGATGATCGCGTCCCTAAAATGTGGGTTTTGTTAAAAGTTTGAGGCATTGCAGATTATTGTATCAGAAGTAATATTAAATCGGTCTTTGCCCCTGCCTATCATTTCTGCAGCACTTACCTGCGCAGCACAGAATTGAATGTCAGCCGAGGCGGCCAACGGGCATCCGTCTTGCTTGAAGTACATTCTTGTCAACTGTAAAGATCACAGTATTCACATTGAGTTTAAATTTATGTGATTTATTATTTAGATTGTCACTTACCGCCTCTTTTGTGTAAGTGTTGAAGGTACACTTTTGAAGGCACGCATCGGGAAGACCTAAACATTGGAAATTGATCTTTTTTAGATGAATTTCCCACCTCGTTGTTCACAACAGGCCATGAACAAGGTATTTGGATCCTGAAAATAAAATGATGAAAAGCTCAAAGTGGTACAATATTATTTTTACGGGTATTGGCACAAGTTGGACACTTTTATAAACTTTCAACAAACCACTGGTGGCTGTGGTGGTGGAACGTTTTGCTCATGGAGTGGCGTGTAGCGAGATTTGCCGAAGATTGCGGGCACTTGTCTTTGCGAGACCGTCTAGAAAATAGTGATTATCGTTTTAATCTTACTCTTTAATACGTTTAACTAAAGCATTTGCTGTGTTTCTTATAAAAACCCACCTCAACAGCTCCCTCAGACGTGAATGTGGCCGCCGAGAGGGCGCGGGCCGTTCGTCTAGAAAAAAGGATTTTAAATATATTGAATATTTGGCCTAGTCAGCCCAGATTTTGTGTACAGATCGTAAACTGGAACCTGTAACATCCATACGATCCACAAGCCATCCCGGGAGCGCAGCCAACTCCGCCAGCGCACTGAAATCGAGGAGATCAGCTTTGGAATCGAGTTTTAATTCTAATTCTAATTGTAAATTCTAATTGTAAGTAGAGAAATGATAGCACAGTCAAAAAAACGATATTCTAAATCTGATTTGAAATCAAGAGCGTACGGTTGGAGCGACGGGCGGAATCGGAGAGTAGCACGGTGATGGAGCAAGACCCCCACCACAGATCCCGCTCGCCACACACTAAACAGGTACATAGGTAAATGCAAAATTCAAAGATTACGGTAGCTCTGCACTAGGATTACAGTAATCCATGGCAATAAATACCACTTATCGCAGTGTCTACAGTAATCTAGAGGGTTTACTATGACTACAGTACTCTTGTAAGGACAAGAGTTACTGTACTCTTGTAGTAAACGATACTGTACTGTGAATACAGTACTATTGTTCTATTTTTTGAATGTTTACCCAAAACCTTACCGCTTGTGCCCCATGCCAGATGGCCATCGAGCCAAGAATCAGCGAAATCATAGTTGAAATCCGAGCAATTCGCAACCGAGGAGACGACGATTTGCGACTGATTTGAAAAATTTTGGTGCCGCAAAAAATTGGGCGGAGCTTTGGGCGATGAATGTGCCCGAGGCGGGGATTTCTGTCGGGGATTTGTGTGCCTCGATGCCAACTCTGATAACCGGTTCCGGTTTGCCGATCAACGACATCGTCGAAAAGATTGCGCAATTTCTTTGGCGATATTTCGGCAAACATTGAGCCTGCGATTTGCTACAGAAGAGCAGATTTGTACTGGACTAAACGCGAAATCTCAAGGTCGTTGAGTCACAATGGGAATTTGGCGATCGTATTCGAGAAACTTTATTTCTAGGGTCTACAGGGAAGCGTTTTTATGGCTGTTTTTTTGTCAATTTGGTTGACTTGAGGTCATTGAGTCAGCTTGGGTGAAGCTTCTTCTTGGTCTTGTTGCTTAAAATCTAAAAATTCTATTCCAGCATACTGTAGTCAGTCACTACAGTAGGCTAGTGACTCACTAGAATACTAGCAAATACTAGAATTTTAGAGATACTTTTTACAGATACAATTACTAGAATTTTAGTAAAATATTAGAATTTTACAGTAACCTTTAAGCTTACTATTAGGCTAAAGCTACACATTTTTCATTTTCCAGCTTATGTCAGATTTTTCTAAGCCATTTGTCAAGTTGGGTTGGCTTCCATGACCAGCTATGACATAAGCTTAAAAAGACATGAATGGCAAAGAGTTTGGGCCTAGGGGAATTGAACCCTCGATCTCCTCCCTACCACTGGCAGAGGCTCTACCACTGGCAGAGGCTCTACCACTGGCAGAGGCTCTACCACTGACGGGGGAACTATAACTACTTACCAGCTCAGTTCGACTCCAAAATTACTGGGGGGAAAGCACATCACAAAATAAGATCTTTCTGAAGTTTTTAGCTGCTAAATGCTAGAAATAACTGAAATTTAAGATTTCAAAGTTTCAGCTTAAAATTAAACATTTTTGTGGATACATGACACTCTTTAAAGGGAACTCTGACACGCACCGAACGGTAGTGGAGTAGCTGAGTGGTTAGGAGCCCGGTCTGGTAGTCCAAGGATCACTGGCTCGGCTCCGGCCCAGGTTCTTTGCTTTTTTGCAAAACCAGAGAATGTGCGTTCTCCATCGGATTGCGTAATTGAGCAATAGAGCACGCATTTTCTTTGGTTTATAGTTCCCTCGTGAGCTATCAGCGCCTTCTTTGATGAAGAAGAAATAGGAAAGATAAGAAAGAGAGAGAGAAAGACCCATTTTCATTTTTCAAAGTCATTTTCTTTTCTAGTAGCAAGATGGACCAAGTCATAGAGATTGGTTTTATCGTTATTCGATTGATTTTTCGGGAATGAGTCAATTATGAGCAAACATTTCCCATAGAAAGATGAATTTCTAAAGTCTTTCAAAATTTAAAGATGATTTTTACTTTTTTTTAAAGAAAAAAAGGAAAGAAGATAAAAAATGGGGATTTTTACCAACTTGCTGCTACTAGAAAGCGATTTTTAGCTTTGATTCATGTAAAAATCATTATCATCATCATACTTTCATTTGCCGTTTGTGTCAATTCCCTTAAAAATTCTCTTGATTCGAATTAGATTTGAAAATATATTTGAAATTCCCTAAAAAATCCACTTAACAAAACTTTAAAATGAAATTCTGAATTCTGAATGTTTTGAATGACTTTTTGGAAACGAGTTGACCAGCCAGAGAAATGAGATTCTAATTGCAAATTTATGGCTGGGATTTGGCACACCGTCAAACAGAAAACACAAATCTAGCGATAGGGGAAAACTCGTATTTCTATAATACTATGTGTATTTGCCTCGGGGGATGCGGGGAGTGGAGGCAAAGCTTAAGCCTCTGGACTCCCCGATCCCCTGCTTTCTCTTCTATTCAGCACGACCAAAAATTTACAGGTTTCTCTCAAATTCCCTTTCCCACTCCAGCGCTGATCTCCACGAGTAAACACGAAGCGAAATTTTTTTGTGTTTTCTGCTAGAAAGGTGTGTGAAAATATTGTTAAAAGAAATTGATAGGAAAAAAAAATGATTTGGACAATTTCTTGCGCTCTATACCGTGTAAGAACATTTTTATTTCTATTTCTAAACAAATTTCTAAAAGATTGAATTTGGAAAGAAAGTTGGGATTATTCTGAGTCTAAGTACTTACTATTAGTCTTACTGAGTACTTACTATTAGTCTTACTGAGTACTTACTATTAGTCTTACTAAGTACTTACTATTAGTCTAATTCTTCTATAAGATAGAGGTTTTTGAGGAGAATCCCTTCATACAGCTGCAGCTGCAGATACAAACCCCAGCTCAATGCTCGAAGGGTTGAATTTAATTCTCTTACTTCCTTTCTACTTTCTTCTTTCCCTCTTTCTCTTGACAGGTACGGGATAGCTGAGTGGTTAGAGCAATTGCCTGGAAAGCAAAAGGATTAAATCTTAGCCGATAATCTGCTTTTTCCTACCAATTCCTTCACTTCTTTATTCTTGTTCTGTTCAACTGTTCAAAAGTTCTCTAGTAAAACACTTCTTTTTGCCTCTTGACACAAATTTGTGAATAATTTATTAAAAAGCTGAAAGACTGTTGTTGGAAAGACAATTGATATTCAAATATTATCAAAATCCGGATCATAGGAGCCACTCCGTCGCAAGAGGCGTCGATTTAGATGATGCCGGCGGCGGGCTCGGTAGATATCCTTCTCCTCGTGAAACTCGAACTAGAAATGGTTATGAATTCTAGAAATGATTCTATTTAGTATTTAAATTTTGACACAATACTTTGGCAAGTATATCTTTTACACATAGAACCTACTCGATTTTGTCGAAAGCCGCGAATTTTCCCCTCAGAGCCGGTGGAGACAATTTTCTGGTGAATTGGGGGTAATTTGAGCAAACCGACATCGATGTCATCGCAATCTTCCGATATGTCTTCTGAAAATTCATTTAGAATTATAACATTTTACAAGCAGACTAACTTTTCGTTTTCATTTCCTCTCGAGCGTTCTTCTCGTCCACCATATCCCTCATATCATCAATGTCATTTGTGATATCTGAATTTAGATATTTTAAAGAATATATCTGATAATAGATCTGATAATAGATCTGATAATATATCTGGTAATAGATCTGATAATATTGGGTTGGGGAGAATGAGTCGGCGCCGAAAATGAAAAAAATGTCTAAAACTTCTATTCGACTTCGTCAAATAATATGCCTTTGATATCAGTAGAATGGTTAACTAATTCTCTACAAAATGACATTTAAAAGAAAATTCAAACAGCGCCTCCGCTCAAGAAAAAGCCATTTTTTCACAAAAACTACAAACTGTGATCTAGAAAAAACCATTGGTGGGATCTTCCTGCAAATTTGGCAACTTAAGTAATTCAATGTGCTCTATCTTTTTTATATAAACACCAAAAAAGGTTTATGTGAAAGAAACTGTTCAAATGATGAGTCGGACTCTTTGCCATTTTAACCAGCTGCGTTTGGAAGTTCATAAACTCCACGAAAGAAAAGCTTTGTGGAATCTCTCAAAAGTGATTTTGTAGAGAAATAGTGGATCCTTTTGATGAAACCAAACGTATGTTTAAAGAAGGCTTTATGTGTGCAAAAAGTCCCTTTAAAGTTTGGCGCCGACTCATTCTCCCCAATCCAATAGATCTGATAAAACATCTAATAATAGATCTGATAATAGTTCTAATAATAGATCTGATAATAGTTCTAATAATAGATCTGATGATAGATCTGATAATAGATCTAATAATAGATCTAATAATAGATCTAATAATAGATCTAATAATAGATCTAATAATAGATCTAATAATAGATCTGATAATAGATCTAATAATATCAAACCTTTCTCAAATTCGAATTCCGAAACAGTTGGTTGATTAAGTTTCGGTCGTTGCAAGAGAAGGGAAATCGGTTTTTTCGATGAATCGGAGGTTGGGTTTTCTGTGGGAAATTCGAAAACTTTAGCAAAAGATTTCTCAGGATTTAAATGCTTGTCTTCTTCATTTTTCGCTTCATTTGTCGAAGTGATTTTTGAGTTTTTAGGTTGGGTGTCGGTTTGTGTGGCGGCTGAGCGAGACTCGGGACGTTCCTGGAAATTCCGCGTTTTGGTGAGCGTTTAGAAAATGTTTTGGTGAACATTTCCATTCACTTTATAAGTTTTTGAATAAATTTTAAGCTGGTTTTAAATGCATAAAATCTCTTTTCAAGCACAAATATGAATAATCTTAAATAGGTATACTTACAGCCGTAACTGTAGCTTATAAGAATACCGTAGGTCTTTGAGGCTGCAAGTCTAGACTTACAGCATCCTTACTGCTTCAGGAGACAATATTCTTTTAAATTTATAGCATAAGAAAGCTTAAAGCCAGTCAAGTAAATATTGAAAAATCGGTTTTACAGTCTTTTTTTTGAAGTCTCACCATTTCTTGCGCTTTCGCCTCAACTTTGAGCGTTTCTTTGTTCGTCGATTGGGGCACTGATATTCGGATGACCACCGCGTTTCCCTCCTCATTTTCCCGCTGCTAAATCGATTAGAGTTTTCGATGGAGAAGCTGATTTTACAGAAACAATTGGCTGTAGAGTTTTTTCGTTCATTTGTGATCGTTTCATCAATGTCTCAAGGCCGTTTTTCTGTTCATCTTGTCGAATTCCTGTCAGATTTATTCGTAGATCGGGATGGCTTTTCGTCAATGCTTTTCCATTCGAAATCGGGATTCGAGACGGCGGACGATCTTTTGGAGACTGGAAAAAGGCTTTTTTTGCTTCTATATCGTTTTCGATCTATATATATGTTGTGTCCGATTTAGATTTTCGTCCGATTTAGATTGAACTTATCGCGGACGTCCGATTTAGATTACAGTCTATATCGGACGTCCGATTTAGATTCAATCTAAATCTTATATGGATTGAACAATAATATAAACATGCTTAATATATGTTCTTAAGCGTTTTCTGTAGTTTTCTGCATTTTTCAAAGGTCTTTTATTGATTACAGTCTATATCGGACGTCCGATATAGACTGTAATCTAAATCGGACACAACATATACATACTATAAACTTATACCCAGGACTCTGTACTGCTAAAGTACGGTACTTTTCAATAAAGTTCAAGAAGCCCAACGTTCAGGTCAATAAAGGTACCGTACTTTAGCACTGGAGTATAGGCGCACTTTCTGACAAACTTTCTGACAAACTTTCCCACCTTTTCATTTACAGATTTCACCCAAGATGGTTCACGTCCGATCTCTTGCAATCTTTCCTGACTTCCACCATTTGGCGATGTTTTGAGGAAAGATAAAGATGAACTTTTCTCAAAACCGTCCATTGGATACGGAAGACCAGTGCATGAACCATAACCCTGAAATTGTTCTCAAATCGATTGAATAGCTCATTGAATAGCTCATTGTTCATTCAAGTTTTCATTAAGGCTTTAAAGTATTCAGTTAAAGACATGAAATCTTCTCTACTTACATGCTGTTTCAGATAAATATCCATTGCGTCAGCTCCATCAAGGAAATGCTCTCGATAAAGATTTGGGAAAGAGATTCCAGAGACCATAAAACGCTAGATTCTATTTTAATTTTAATTTGATTTTTTAAAAATCCTACTGTATCCCGATTTCTCAATTTTTCCACGAAACGACCGTAGTCACACGCGACGAATGGGCCCTTTTCCACGCCCACGTATTCCCCATTTGACTCAAGATCTTCAAACTGAAAAAGACAGCGATAAAGTAAAGCTAATAGTAAGTAACTTTTTTTTTAGTTTTAAGCCCTTACATGTGTAATACTTCTGCCATCGATTGTGAACAACTTGTTGACGGCTGTCGTCGTCTAAAAAGGGTTTAGTTTTGAAAATTTCTTTTTTTCAAACCCTGAGCACTCGTGTGAGATGATCTAAAAAGACGATCCAATGTCGGAAATGTCGCCTCGTCACGTGAACAATTCGTCCCTCATCCCTCTCGTCACCATTCTTGTAGACGTGGATCTAAAGCTCACTCAGCATCATCACCGCCATGGCCGACTGGCTAAGAGCCTTGTATCTTAGCCATGAGGTCTAGGGTTCAATCCTGCCGGCTAGACTAGTGGTTTTCCCCACAGGGCTTAAGGGTTGTGCTTGTGTATTGTTTTTACCACATTATTCTTGTGAATAAATGTATTTCCTCTTGTATTGTAAATGGATTGAATGGATGATGATTGTATGAATGGATTGTAGAACCACGAATTACTCTAAGCCATAATAGAACGGGCAAGGCTCTGGCTCTCGGATCAGTTTGCTACATCCGGTAAATTTTTCCAAAACACTTGATCAATCGGGTCACGGATCAGGCCCAGCCCAGACTATCAGCTTGGCTTGGATCAGTTAGTCATTTCTTTGGTAAATATTCAAAAGCAATCTTGATCTGGATAGATCGTCACATCACATCAACTGTTTTACCACATCAATTCTCCCATTATTTACCTTTATCGGCCGAAAATCGAAATCGACATTGCATGGGCATCCGTGTAAACGATGATGTTGATGATCGCCTACCGATGGGCATGAGGCCATTTTACCTCATTCTTAAAATGAGATTCGAGTGAATGCATCAAAATGTAATCAAAGCAAAAGCTGTTTAAGAATAAAAGTTTAAAGTTTAAAAGGATTTGAAAAGAAAAGCATAAGAAAACAACAAAAGCTTTTCAAATGGAAGGTTTTTTTTTGAAGGTAAGAGTAAAAAAAACGCTTTCGAAAGGAATTCAAAGAGAAATGAAAAGAAAGGAAACGAGAAAAGAGCATAAAAAGAAAACCCACTCTTAAAAGCCAGCTGAGCGTGAATGAGCAAAGATTTCTCAATCTCTCATGTTTTTGAGAACTTTTTGAGAACGGATTGAAAACGTTATACGGTTAAACAATCAGCTGAAAGATTTCATTGGTTTACAAAAAATTCCAAAGCCAAAGCCAAAGCCAAAGCAAGAATAACTTAAATCTAAAGCTGTTAATAAAGCAAGACACTTTTAAAGTCTAAAATCTTTTTTTCAGGATTTCAAACTGTTCACATTGATTGTTTAAAAGAAATATTTTTCAGATTATAGCTTTATATAGGATAAAATTGAAGGTAAGCTAAGAATCAAGTTTTATAGACCTAAACTAGACTCTGAGATTGAATGAGTCCAACTGAGAAGTCCTGAGAAGTCGAACTGAGAAGTCTCAGCGGAGTTTTGGACTTCTCAGTCGAACTGACAAGCATCCAAAAGAATGCCTATGAAAATTTCAAAATTTCTTGCAATTAGATCAGTGTATTATGAGTCTTTTTGAGGCATTATAAAACAAGTTTTCTGAGCAATTCTTAGCAAATCGTAAGCGTAGAGAGCCGTTCCAGGTAGTGCTGAGATTCAAAAATGTTTATAAAGGGTGGTTGAAGAGCTGAAAGGATAATTGGTGGTTCAATCCAGTGGTTGGTATCCATTCGTGAGAACAAAGAGTTGAAAGGAAGGACATTTCAGGACACCTTCCGGGAATTCACACCAATAATCTCTCTTCAACTCTTAAAAGGTTTTTGGATATTAGTCGTAGATCTTTGGATACATGTTTTTCCTGAAACGAAATAAATAAAGATCTATTCATTATTAGAAAGTTGCGAATGCTGATGATAGGGAGAAAATGAACGCGAAATGTGAGCAGTAAAAGCTGAACCTCATCTATTGCATATTTTGAACAGAAATCTATATATTGATCCGAATTGAGTTTGAAGAATAATCCTAGGATTCCCGTATCTACACTCAAAGATATGTACATTGGAAAAAAAAGGAAACAGATGTGACTTGTTTTATTTCTAGCAAGTAGCTTTAGATAATAAGGCTCAAAAGCTTACTTGCTAGTCGAAGGAAATCCCAGCGAGCTTCTGACGCCCTCGTCGACAATTGCATTCGTCCAGAACAGGCGTGTGAATCAGGTGATGTTCTTTTGGTGATGGGATCTTCTCGAGGAACGATTTCAGGTCAGTCAATCTTCAACCATTTCCTCCAGTTCGAATGGCGAAATGTTTCAGGACCTCATCCGAGAGCGGGAAGATTGAACGGTTTGGTTGAAGTCTCACGATCGGCGCTTCCAGAAAGTTCTTCTCATTTTCGTAGACCTTCGAGATCATGTAGCGGCCTCGGTGTGAAGAGGTTTCTCGTGAAGTTGAGAAAGAGCGTGAACGAGAGAGGCGAGACGACGAACGGTCGCGGCTGTCCTCCGAGGAAGTCCTTGATCGAGATCTTGGCGACGACGACCTCGAATTGCGTCGAGAAGGCGGAGCGGGCGGGAGCACGACATCCATTCTCTAAAGAAAAAAGTTTTTATAGGGTCTTGAAGGTGGCATCCGGGAATGATTTGCTACGTCCCGGAGCGCACATCAGCTAAATCCATCCAGCCTTGAGCATGGCAAACCATTCCCGGTAAACCAAAAGTTTGCGCTCGAAATAGAACAGAGAAATGTCCTAAGAAGAAGTACAAACAGGTTAAAATTTTGAATCGACGAAATAACGGCTTGGCTCGAAGAAGCAAAGTGAGGAAGATGGAGAAAGGACTGCCTTATATAAAGCGGCCCCGACGCGGAGTGTCGCGTTCTCTACAGTAGCCGTAGTGGATTTTAAAGCTTCCGTTAACAAGTGTTTTTTTAAAAATCATTCGTAGAACGGAGTTAAAACGAGATAACGGGAAATAGCATTTGTTGAGCTTTTAAGCTTGTGTAGTATAATCTGCATATTGATCTGAATTAAAGAATAAACCTAGGATTCCCGTATCCACGCTCTAAGATATGTACATTTTAAGAAAAGCGGAAAATTCATAATGCTGGAAATGGAGGGCCGAGTGTGGCAGGAAGTACGCGTTTATCACGAGTTGTTTATCACGAGTACAGCATGGATTTCAGTTATCACAGTAAGACTACAGTAATCCTCTGACTCGGGTGATGTGCCAGGAAGTGCGGATTTATCGCGAGTTCAAAGTACGCTGCGAATTTCAGCACGCTTTTCTTTTTCTTCTCACCAATCAATGATACAATGTGCAATTATTGAAAGCAATTTGCCATAGGCTTTGCTCATCTTGTAGTCTGCAGTAAAATGGAAAAAGGTGAAAGAGGTGGCGAGAGAAATCTCAGAGTTGAGACTACCAAACTACTCAGCACCAAAAAAAGACACGAAAGGGAGAGATATTTCTTGTCGTTTCTTCGGCTTTGATAAGATTCTCTCGTTGATTTTCTTTTTCTCATTCCCACAAAATATCGATTCATGTCAATTTTCAGGCAATAATCCCTTCTGCTGGGTCTTCCCATCCATGTTATCTGCCTGTCTAATCAAATAAAACTTTTGCTCTCTTTTTCGTCACATCTTCAATGAATCATTCACCTTTTTACCTTTTAAAAGAACTTCTCGATTAAGAATAAGATTAAGATTTTTAGGAAATGTATAACGACTGAAGTCCGGGCAATTTGAATGAGTCCTAAAGTTTGAAAAACCGTATCTTTGTCCAGAGATAATATTATTATTCTTAACTTCCTTAATTCTTATACTTATTCTTTGTTATTCTTAAATTTTTATATCATTGAATAGAGGAAAACGAGGCTTTCGAATGGTACAAAATTCAGTTTTTTTTTTCCAAACCAAATCCCACTCAAATCAAAGCAATCAAAGCCAACTCTGGCTTTGAGTTTAAAAGTGTTTAAGTGAATTTTGATTTACCTTTTAGATTAACTTTAGATTAAAATTTTTGGGAAATTAAAACTTTAAAATCTGTAGAATGTTAAATTTTGGGTTAAAAGATTTCAAGAGTTAAGACTTTTCGAAAATATTTTTTTTCTTTTTCTTTTTCGAGAATTCTCTCCATTTTTCATCATCTTTAGAACATTTTTCAAAAATTTTCTTAAGAAATGAATCTCCTTTTCTTTTGGAGACGTTGGAATTACAATATTTTTCTTTTTCAGTCGAAATGAAGAAAGGTTTGGTGGAGGGTGAGTGCGGTCGATCGAATGCTCTCGTCGGATTGGCCAATCAATTCGGCACATCGAATCAACGAATTTCCTCATCAATTCAACAGGGTAAATAGAATTTTAAAAGATTTAATAGCTTTAAATATATACATATAACTTATAGATATTCAAAAATAGATTTACAATACTTGCATTTCTTGTCTTAAAGTTTCTCCGAGGCTTTTCAAGCTTTTTAAATAGCAAAGCTCTTCTGGATTTGATTTAAATTGATAAATAGCTAAAACAGGCTAGATATCTTATATAAAAAACAGGATATTTCAAATGCAAATCATTTTTCGAAAATTTTTTAGGCACTTCAACCCTTCTCCCATCGTCGTCACAAGGAGAGCTTTTTGCGAACGAATTCCTTCAGCAGAAAGCTCAAAGGACAGCCATCCCGAGAACTTTCCATACATCGGTACAAGATTTAGAAATGAATTCAATTGAAATTTATAAATTTAAAATGATTATCGTAAAAATCTTCTCTTCTAGTCCCTCCTCCCACAACGACCGAGCGCCTCAAAAACCTCGGCTTTAGCCACCCAATGGGGGAATGAGTTCAACACGATGCAGACACAAAGCCTAGGTTTGAGAAAAGAAAATAGCCAAATATACCAATAAAAGAAACTCCTTCTTCAACGAATTTTCAAAAAAGTTGAAATGGTTTTTGGTGGTGGTGTGAAAAGTATTTTTTTAGCCTAACAAGTTTTTCATGTTTTTTTGAGCTTTTTACGATTTCATGACTCCCTATTCACCAAAAAAATTTCACCGCCACCATCTCCGCCACTTCAGCTTTATTTTGCTGTTCATTTAAAGTGCATTTTCGAAGACTCTGAGACTTTTTGGGAAATATTTTCTCTGGGCAATCTGCAATGCCTATAAAAGGTATAAAAGGTAGTCAGTGTAAACATCTCCTTGAACAAAACTTTTTATTCTTGTACTACACAAAATAGAGCGCAAAAGGTCAAGCAAGAAGTCACTACTCTAGCTCAAATTGGCTATTCTCCAAAAGAAATAAATAGATAAGTGGAAGTACTTGTTAATGGCTCGTTGTATTTTTTAGATGAGCACGCGGAAAAGAGTATAAAACTGAATATGATAGCTGCAAAAGTTTTTGTACAAGTATATGGAATGGAAAAAGTTTTTTTCGACGAATTCTACTTGTACATCTTTCATCTAGTAAATTGTAAATTGTTTCTGTTTTCAGGGTTCAGGACGGTCTAAAAGCATAGAAGAAATGAGAGAAAAGGCTATTGAAATGATTCGTGAGAGTCCTTCTTTACCGAGAATTTACCAAAAAGTCTCAGAGTCTTCGAAAATGCACTTTAAATGAACAGCAAAATAAAGCTGAAGTTTTTAGCTGAAATAATAACAAAATAAAGCTGAAAAACATCTCCAGATGGTGGTGGTCAAATTTTTTTGGTGAATGGGGTCATGAAATCGGAAAAAGCTCGAAAAAAAACATGAAAAATTTGCTAGACTAAAAAATATTTTCCACACCACCTCACACCACTTCTACTTTTTTGAAAATTCGAGTTGAAAAAAGAGGTTTTTATTGAGAACCCTATTTATCAAAATTTAGGCGCACAATGGGCAACGCAATTCCACGAGACGCGTCCAATGGTGGCGATGGAGAGCGCATGGAGTCAAGCGACTGAGAAACAAGCTTTTCAGGCTCCCCAGGGGTGAGTTGAATAAGAAAATGATTACGAAATAGATATATTCAAGAAGTTTGAGCAAATTTTAAGCTCCTAAGCCGAGCCCAGTACGAAAGAAAGCCTTAATTAGCGAACTTTATATACCACTCTAAAATTCAAGAGTAACGGTGTTTGTTTTGGCAAAGTTCAAGACATTATCGGTTTAGCTCGTCACTCGACAGCGGCATGTGGTCGGCCGAATTCCTCGACAACATCGACACATCACTCAACAAGACGCAGGTCATTTTTTTTGCATCGAATTACTGTACCTTTATCCACAAAATCTAATCCCGTTCATTTTCAGTGCCGCACGCGCTGCGAGTGTAGCGTGTGCAAGGTGCGTTTGGATACTCGTTTTTTTTTCTTTTTGTTTAGCTAATATTTGCAAGCTCTAGAGATGGGGAATTAATGATTTGCATAGTGAAGATTTTATTTCAAAAACAGTAGTACCAACATCACATTTTACATAGAACTCTAGCTCATTTTTTCAGTTGTACAAGCGGCTAGAGGTTGGCTTTACAAAGTAGAAAGCTTACCAGTCTAATAAAGTTATTTTATTTACAGTAATCGCTTAAAATACTGTAGTTTATAGAATTAATAGACTTGGTTATCAGTTAACGTTAGTGCAAAATAGAAAATGTAAACCGTTCTACCGTAAATGGATTACGGTAGAAAGCAAGTCGAGGCCGAAAGCAAAAGCGCAAAAGCGGTCCTAGTAAGTCTCAGTCTCACTGTGCTAAAGTATAGGCACAAGTTGAGACAATGTATTGCTATTATATTCGATTACCGTAATACCGTATTACAATTCAGGGCGATATTTACTCGGACGCGTGGGCAGACGCGGAGGTTGCGCACGAGTCAAGGATGGGCGACATGGAGGAGGCGTGGGATGAGGTGTGGAATAAAAAACAGGTGATACAAAGAAATTTATTGTTAGCCTGGAGTACTGTAGTACTGTAACTGCTTGGAGTACAGTGACAATTAAGTCTAAAAGCATAGCGACCGTAGTCCAAAGTCAAATTTTAGATAATTCGTCCACATCATTCTTTCTAGTCTTTAAAACTACAGGGTGGTTTTAAAACTACAGGGTCTGACTTCACTTAGAGCTCATAAGCTGTGAAAACAAAAATCAGAGATATAGCCAATATTTTTTAACAACTTTATTGATAACAATATAGAAAAACATAGCAACGGTCACTTTTCAAATATATCACCATTAGCTGCGATACAGGCCTCTAGACGATACGTTGTGGGAAGTCGTCCACGGTTAATTAAGTAATAAAGATAATTAAGTAAAAAAAGCATTTAACGTAAAAAAAATCCTGTTTCCTTTGGAAAAAGATGTTAGAACAAGATTGCGCCGGTAGTCAGACTTTTGGGCCACCCTGTATAGTATTGTGCTTGGAGTGCTGTAGCGATTAGGTCTAATAGCATAGTGCCAGTAGTCCAAATTCAAAGTATCATTTCAAATTGAGCTCTTTAGTTGGACGCTCTCAGACATCAATTCGCGAACTCGTCGATCGAGACCGACTACACGCACGAGGTTGAATCTAAATCTGTAAAACAGTCAACCACCTAGATAAGATCGATATAAATAGAATTTTTGAAAATCAAACAAACTATTCAACATCAAAAATTTCAGCTCTCGAATCCTTTCCTATCCGAAGCGAACCCGAGCTCACTCGGCGAGAACCTCCTCAAAGAGGGCGACCTCGGCGGAGCGATTTTGGCCTACGAAGCGGCCACACAGCAAAATCCACAGGATGCTCAGGCGAGAGTGAAAAGCACAAAAATCTTTAAATTAATCAATTTTCAAAACTTGCTAAACATTTCCAGGCTTGGTGCAATCTCGGCTTGTCGTTGGCCGAAAACGAGTACGACACTCGGGCGATCACCGCTTTTCGAAAGTGTTTAGAAATCGATTCGGGAAACAAAGAGGTATCTGTATTTGTGTAGGAAACAGTAGATAAATTGGATATGTAATAACCCAATTTAGGCTCTTCTCGGGATCTCGGTTTCGCTAGCCAACGAATCGCTTGAAAACGATGCTCTTGAACATCTGGAGAAATGGGTTGTGGTTAGTACTTTATCGTTGCTATTGTTGGAGGATTGGTTTGACTGTTAGAAACTACATTTGCAAAATAACTTTATCACTCCAGGCACACACGGGCGGTGATCCAAAAACGGTGAGCCGACCCGCACCCACCTATAGCTCCTTTCTTGATCACCACGTTTTTGGGCAAGTAAGTCCATTTAAGTCTGAATTATGAAAGAAAATTTTATATGCAGGTAGAGGAAAAATTCTTGGATGTCGCTCGAAGACAAGAGGGAGCAGGTGATGCCGACCTCCAAAATGCGCTCGGTGTCCTCTATAATTTGAATCGCAATTTTGAGAGAGCCACCGAATGTTTGAAATTAGCAGTGTCACATAAACCACAGGTATGTCGCTAATTTTTGAATGCATAATGCTCGCAGACCTTGAAGCAGTTGCCCTTGCAGCTCTATATTTTGCGCAACATTTTTAGCAATTTTTATTGTTATACAAAAAACAATGATCGAACAACTATTAACTATCAATTAAGAATTAACCAGCAACTAAGAAATTAACAATTTTTCAATTGATTGATAAGTTGATTGGCTTCTTTGGAGCTCTACCAATCGGTTTCATCAGCGTCGGCACCACCAGATGGAGCAGCTTGCGCGTTTACCTGAAAGTCCGAAGAATTAACAAACTTTGTCGAATTAACTAACCGAGAACCCAGCGGTTCCTAAAGCACTTTGTAAGAAGTCCGGCACAATTTGATGAGCTTCTGCGAGAATTCCAACAAGTGCGGCAGAAAGATTCATGTCGTTGCTATCACTTGGATCGAAGAACGATGTTGCGCGACCTAAGAAAAACCAGTTACATTCTTAAAAATGAACGCTTCGCATACCCGGATTCCCCACTCGTCCAGTACGACCAATTCGATGCACGTAATCTTCCTTGCACTGCGGCAAGTCATAGTTGATCACATGATCGACTCCTTGGATGTCAAGACCACGCTCAGCAACAGCAGTCGCAATCAAAACGGGTTTCCTAAAATAGACACATACATTGCGTGAATACAAAGAAAAGAACTTACGATCCAGAGCGGAATTCAGATAGAGCCTCACTGCGTTGTCGTTGTTCTCGGTCTCCGTGCATTGTCACTGCTGGCAGTCCGGCCTCACTCAGCGTCAGTCCCAGTTGATCGGCGAAAGCTTTACGATTGACGAACACAATAGTTTTCTTTTCGAACATCGATTGATCTATAGAAAAATCTTGTGATCCTTTACACAACCTTGCTACCTACCCTTGACAGTGTAATTATTGACGTCGACGTTTAAAAGCTCGAGCAACTTGTCCCTCTTGCCTTGCCTGCTTGAAACTTCGATGAATTCCTAAACCAGTCTTATTAAAAGCCATGCACATGAGCAGCCACCTGAGTAATGCAGCGATTTGCCGATCCAATCTTGTCGACAGCAAGTTGTGCATGGTCGGACTTGAGATGCTCACTGGCAAGTTGCTGAACCTCGTCTGGAAATGTAGCCGAAAACATCAGCGTTGTTCGCTTCTCCTTCGAAGGTCCAAGGCTGATCATCCTAAAACAAAAGTCAACTCAGCGTAAAAAGGTTCAAACGTACTTTCGGACATCATCGGCAAAGCTTGAAGTCTCAAGCATTCGATCAGCTTCATCCAAGACGATGTAGCGAACTTCATCCATACTGATTGTACCGTCTTTGATGAAGTGAAGCAAACGACCCATCGTTCCGACCACAATACTAGGACCCTGCAAGTCGAAATGTACCTATCAAATCAGAGGCTTGATCCTTACCATAGCGAGCCGAGCCTTTGCTGCTCCAACTTGTGTTCCTCCGTAAACCGACGCAATCTTGAGGACGGTTCCTCGCAAGAATTTCTGCCCCTCTCTGGAGATTTGATCGGCAAGCTCGCGGGTAGGTGCCACAATGACGCAACGAGGTGAAGCAGATCCAGAACCAGCACAAGCCATGTCATCATTTACGATGAGATCTTTGATGATCGGCAGAAGAAAAGCAGCTGTTTTGCCTAGAATTCACTTTTTAAAAGGGACAAGCAATCGTTGATTGTTACCTGATCCTGTTTGAGCACAAGCCATAAGGTCCATCTTGTTCTTGATGATTGCCATAGCGTGTTGTTGAATCGGAGTCGGCTTGTTGTAACCAGCTTCTCGCACATTTGCCTTCACTTGAGGCGGAAGCTCCAATTCATCAAAAGTGCTATAAAACTGCTGGTTAGATATCCCAGGAAAAGTGCGCACTTGATTGGGGAAATTTTGATTTTCTTCCCGGAGGAGGTTACATTGACATCGGCCTCGAAGAACTCCTTGAAGCGGTCTCCCTCGGTGATTCTGAATTTGAAAAGCTCTTCGTCCGGCACCTCCACTGGAACATAGGTCGATGCTGGCTTGCTCGAAGGATCTAAAACAGAAAATACACTGCAACGAGCTGATCGATTATTACCCATATCATCTCTCGACTTTCTCGGCTGAGGGCATTCGGTGGATCGATGACCTTCTTGTCCGCAATTGAAACAACCACGTGGACGTTCATTACCGGCTGTTGTTTGAGCTCCAAAGAGTCCTCCGCCGCTGCCGAATCCAGCTCCACCGCCGCCAAATCCTGATCCACCAAAGCCGCTGCCTTGTTCTCGAGGTTTCTTTGGTTCGGGGCACTCATTGGATCGATGACCTTCTTGACCGCAATTGAAGCAACCTGAAAGAAAAAAAAATTATAAGGAAAAGACTTTGAAGCTAACCTCGTGGTGGCCCACCTTCACGCGGCTTTCTTGGCTGAGGGCATTCGTTGGAACGATGGCCTTCTTCTCCGCAATTGAAGCATCCTCGGGGCCGTTCTCCGGTTCCACCACCTCCACCAAATCCGCTTCCGCCCCCTGCTCCTCCACCAAATCCACTTCCTCCGCTAGACGCGCCAAAGCCGCTCCCTCCAAATCCGCTTCCACCAGTTGCTCCTCCTCCAAAGCCGCTTCCTCCTCCTCCAGCTCCACCACCTAAATCTTTTATTTTAATCTTACGAAAGATGTAAACCTCCACCTTCACGCGGCTTTCTTGGCTGAGAGCATTCGTTGGATCTATGGCCTTGCTCTCCACAATTGAAGCATCCTCGGGGGCGTTCTCCGGCCCCGCCGCCTCCAAAACCACTTCCACCAGTCGCTCCTCCACCAAATCCACTTCCACCACCAGATGCGCCAAAGCCGCTTCCTCCAAATCCGCCAGTTGCTGCTGCTCCTCCTCCAAAGCCGCTTCCTCCTCTAGCTCCACCACCTAAATCGATTAATTAATGCATTTCACAAGAGATGTAAACCTCCACCTTCACGCGGCTTTCTTGGCTGAGGGCATTCGTTGGATCGATGGCCTTCTTCTCCGCAGTTGAAGCATCCTCGGGGTCGTTCTCCTCCTTGTCCCCCAAAGCCGCTTCCAGCACCGCCTCCGAATCCGCCTCCACCAGCCCCTACAATATTGTATGAATTAAACCATGTCATAAAAGATAACCTCTTCCAGCTCCATCTCGAGGCTTCCTCGGCTCAGGGCAGTCATTGGATCGATGTCCCTCTTGACCGCAATTGAAACATCCTAAAACATAAAATTATGCATAACAAAGGAATAAAGCAACCTCGTGACTTCCTTGGCTGAGTGCAATCAGCACTTCGATGGCCTTCTTCTCCGCAGTTGAAGCAGCCGCGAGGCCGTTCTCCAGTTGCTCCTCCTTGTCCACCGAATCCACCACCACCTCCGAAGCCGCTCTTCTCGCCAGTTTCACCGAAACCGCCTCCCGATCCGAAGCCCGTATTTCCGCCTGATCCGAAGCCCGTATTTCCACTCGATCCAAAGCCAGCGTTTCCTCCCGATCCGAATCCCTTGCTTTCTCCTTCGTTTCCTCCAAAGCTCTTCGCTGCTCCAAAGCCCGTCTTTCCTTCACTTGCGCCGCCGCCGAATCCAGAGGCACCGCCGAAGCCGGACGACCCGCCACCTAAACATAAAAATTTAGTAGAAGAAAGTCAAATGCTCAAGTTACACAATCTAAGACTTAACAGACTATTTCAACGCAAATTACTGCAATTCTATCTATTTAACTACATAGTTGCCACATTTGTTTAATGAGTAAGCATGATATCCTTAATCAAAAGTCAAACACACCTTCCTTTGGTGCTGCAAAACCACTCGATATATCGCCAAATCCCATTTGTTCTTGGTCGCAGAACTGAAAGAAAAGAGATTTTACTAGTTGAAATCAAATTCAAAACAAAAACAAAAACAAAAACAAAAACAAAAACAAAAACAAAAACAAAAACAAAAACAAAAACAAAAACAAAAACAAAAACAAAAACAAAAACAAAACAAAATAAATGGGGCCAGTGGGCTTTCAAAATTTAGAAGAACAATGAAAATGAAAAACGAAATGAAATGAAAATGATTTTATGGCTTTCGACTTGTGGGGTTATAGGCTCAAAATTTTCCATTTATTAAGTGAATATTTCTTGGTTGATGAGAATGGGGCGTTTTTGCATATAAAATCGACAAATCATTTTTTTTACTTCACGTTTTCCGCTCGTCGTTAGTTTTTTGGTTTTAGTAACGCTAAAGTTGTAAAGCAACTCTATCCAATGAGATAAGCAATTAGACAAATGAAATAATTGCAGGATCCCCGTTTGTGGAATCGTCTTGGCGCTACTCTAGCCAACGGTGATCGAACGGCCGAAGCGGTCAGTGCCTATCGAGAAGCGTTGAGTCGGTAAATCACGTGAAAGTCTACAAAAGGAAAACAACATCGATTTAGATATCCGGCTTACGTTAGAGCTCGTTTCAACCTTGGAATCAGTTGCATGCACTTGGCCAGCCATCGGTAAGTTGACAATTAGAGGTTGTAAAAGTAATGTGCCCGTTTTGGGTTTATCCTTGTAGAATTTCAGTACGCGTTCAAAAATTGCTATTACAGGGAAGCCGTTGAGCATTTCGTGATGGCGCTCGAGCTACAAAAGGGTGAAAAGCAGACATCGAGTATCTGGAACACAATGAGGTACACAGAAAAGCATCATTGTTTTGTCAATCTTAAAGCAAATTTGTACAGATCGGCCATCCTCCGGTTACCGCTTGGCATGGGTGATGATATTCTTCGAGCAGCCGACACACGAGACGTTTTACAAGTGAAGAACCCAAAGCATCCAGAGCAATCAAGCAATTTCCAGGTCCGTCAAGCCCTCGAACGTGTTTCGAGTTGACTAGTCGATAAGCGGTTTCGAAGATTCTCCCAATCACCAAAATTTTGCTGTCGTCATGATCGTGCTCAACTTTATTGGAATCCCTAACTCACCAATTGCCAAATGTCAAAAATTTGCTCAATTTTTCAGTATATAAATACTTTATTCCCAAAAATTATAGTTGCATGAAAAAGGGAAAATGCAGAAGAAACTAAGAAAAGAAAATCTAAAAATAAAACACTCTGTCTACAAATCACATGGATCAGTTATTTCGTATGTGCAAGAAGAGATGGAAGACGTGAATAAAACTTCTAAAAACAAAAATGTTTTATGCTTTTACAAAATTACCAACCGTATAAAGGGCAACCGCTTGAAGAATCGATGAGGTACCAGCCATTTCGCGAATCGAATGCATAGCCAACTGAGGGCAACCCATATCTAAAATCAAGATGCCCCATTTATCTATAGTTCAAATTTGGCTATTTTAAGATTTTAGGTCTAATCTAAAACTCTAAAATCTAAAAACCGAACTTACCAACTGTAGCCAAACCAAGATTAGCGGAGAGCATGGGACCTGAAGGCACAGGAATTAATTCTATTCAAGAAATAGGTTACCATAATCCTCATAGAGAGAAAAAAGTTTTTCTTTTTTATTTAATTTTATTTCCGGTTGAAACCATGCTGCTTTTTCTATTGCTTTCTTTTTGTGCTTGTTTTTAACTGGTTTTAAACGTTTCTTCTTTCAGGAAATACAAGCTGGCTCCGAAGAAGAAGAATGGGCCGTTGACGGGACATCACTAGATTCGCTATCATTTCAAGGTACGTTTGTTTGTTAAGTGTTTATATTTATATTTTTACTATCAACTTTGACTCGTTTAGGTGTTCGATGTGACCTCGGATGAGGATATGGCTGAGCCCCTCGAGGACAGTCGGGTGATTGGAGGCGCTGTGGAAGCCATGTCCCCCTAGTGGCCTGGTCGTGAGATTGAGCCTCCTCGGTTGTGATGAGATTGACTCCCCATCACCGTTCACCCCACCTGAGGGGTGTTGCTATTTTTATGGATTGCTTTCCGTTCTTTTAACTATTTTATCAAGCAACACTTTTTATAGACTCGCGACAATTTTGTGGCAGCGTTGAAAGGCGGTTATTGTGGAGAGGAAAACGGTAGCCGGCTGTACGACACGACAAAGGAGCAGGCGAAATTCGACGTGTCTGTTTCGCAAAGAATCTTTCAAAAGCGAGGGCCAAGCTTCTCGAATGCGTGCTAACTGATAATTTGATTCCTGTGGCCAACGCAGAGGTTAAATCTTTTCTCGTTTTTTTTCAACTTCGATTTCAGATTCCAGCAATCCCTCGCTACAGCATCACCGAGTGGAAATCAATGAACAGAATTTCGGTAGCCGAGCAATTGATCGACGATGCCTTTGCGTTGTTCTCTACTGGTATCTATTTAATCTTGTGTATAAATTTCACGCTTGTTGGTTTAGGTAAAGTCTCTGTCAGAGACTGTCTGCCTCATCTTTTCGAGCTCAAACAGTTGTCCAACCCCGTCTACAGAGTGTATAACAAGAACAAGATCGCAGAGCACGAGAAGACATCAAAAAGGATGGAGCAGCACAAACGATGCAAAAGAAGCCGTTGCCACATCAAACGCTGCTCGAATAGAAACAAAAATTCAGCCCTTGGCTCTCCTTGTACACATTAACCGGTTTTTTGTTTTGTGATTTTGTTTTACTAACAATCATTTTGTTTGTGTTATATAATGTTTTATAATGTGATAAAGTTGTAGTATAAAGTGCTTACCAATTGTAGAACCACAAGGACTGTCGTTCTTCACCACAAATTCCTAAAACCATTTTGATCATAAAAAAAAGTCAAAAGATTCTACTTGAATGGGTATTCCGGCCTCGTCAGCAATCTCTTTCACAATAGCCGATGTCGTTGCGGTGGTAGCATAACGTTGATTTACATTCAACTTAATCACCGGTCCACCATGAATACTAACACGATGGTTTTCCTGAATTAAGTTGATTATCCAAGAGAAAATAAATACAACTAAAGATTAAAAACAAACATCGCATTTCTCCTTGTAATTCGGGTGAACTGCGTGCGCTTGATCGGCCGAAATTAGAACGCCTACAAATAAAAATGAATAAAGTTTCAGTCAAAGCTCACTTTTAGCCATTGCCTCTTCAAAAGCCACCGGATTGCTTGGACTGTTTGAAAGCTTTCTAAGCACCCATTGAATGTACATCGAATCGGCTCCTTGGGCAGATTGAGACCCTACCTAAATATTATATAAGAGCGAAAAGATCAGTTTATCTACTTCTTCGTTATCAAAGCAAGCAGCAATGCGAATGTTTGGGTCAGATTCCACAGCACCGTCGGAAAGCGAAGCAATCAATGCCGAAACACTTGTGTACATGCCCACCTAAATCATTAATGAAAATATTTACAACAAGAATAACACAACCTGATTGTCGAGCCGTCCACCCGAAATGAACTCGTTGAAAAGGCCAGTGATTGCCTAAATGTTGCACATATTGATCGTAACGTAAAATGAGATTACCGGCTTTTGAGCATCGTATAAGTAGAGATCCATGCTGACGATGTTTAATGGATCGACTTCAGCACTTTTGGCAATCAGCGTCAGGAGTTGTGGATGGTGCTGATCACTAGTCTAAATTATGCATAATTAGGGTATACAGTACTTACACTTTTAGATTGGGTTATTATAAATTCTAGGTAGAACAAAACGGATTTTTTATAATTAGTAATTAGCTCTAAAGCAAAAAGCTATTATATTGTAATCTTCTTAAGTACTAAGGGCGATCTTTAGTTTACTTTCCCAAGAAAAACCTTTTCTCCGACTCCAGGGAAAGCATTAGTGAGCAGAATTGGCCGAAGATGTGTCTCGTTATTCCAATCAAATTTGCTGCTTCGGTCTTCTTGTAGATGGATGGCCAAGCTATGAATTAGTGGAATTAAAATTAAAACAAGCTTCGAATTACCTCGGAATTGTCATGATCGGTCCACGAAGATCAACCAATTTGTGAAGCAACCCAGTATCCTAAAAATCACTATGACGTTTCAAAATATAATCTACTACCGTTTTCACAACAATCATTCCGGCCAAAGAAAGATCCCGATCAAACCAAGTGCGCCATAGTCCGCCACCATATGTCGAGCAACCAACCTAAAACATTTACTTTTACACTTTACAGATACGAAAGAAAGCTAATAAAGTTGAACACACTTGAAGGCACCCTTCCGATTCTAATTTAGATTTTGGCTTCACTCGAAGGCACGGGGAATCACTGTGCGCGGCAACAATGCTAAAATTTAAATTAAAAACATCACCTAACCAACATCAACAAGCTTACCTAAACCCGTTGCCTGGTTGATATTGTCCACCAACAACAATGGCGAAAATTGTGGTATTGTTTCTGAACAAGCAAATTAGAAGCAACTTTCAATAAACAAACTTTGTGACAAAATATTTCCCGCCGGCGGCAATGTCCCAACGAGAGCCCATATCAAGTTCTTTAAATCCGCTGGCACGAAGACGATCCGCACATTCGGCAACAGCTGAAAGCCGAAATGCAAACTCACTTCTACTTTGCAAACTTATAAATAAGAGATACTAACCGTGAAAAGGCGTGACGGCTTTGTCCAAATAGTGAACGAATTCTCGAGCTAATGCCAACGTCTCATCCGAGTGTGGTTTCAATTGATGATCTGCAAGATAATTTCATAGGACTAATTTACGTAGCCTAAGCTTAACGATAAAATTTGAGGAAAACTACTCCCAAAGCCCCACTTTGAAGTTTTCCACTCCCAATCGAGCGCATCATATTGAGGTATTCAGTGACGGAAGCCGACATGATCGATCGATGGAAGAGGGCTTTGGAAACGCGGAGTAGCGGTAAACGAGACAGCTGAAATGAAACACAAAAATTTATCAATTCTTTGAAAGTTGTCAAGAAAAGCAGAAAAAGACAATCTAGAGCGGCCACGTGTGATAAGGGAATAGAAAAGGAAAGTGGTGAAAAAGTCGGCTAAGATTTCGTTGATGCCTTGAATTTAGAGCTATCCAACTTTCAAAGAATGGTTTAAGAAAAATATTCATAAGCTGCATTCAATGAAGTTCATTGCTTTAAGCACTTTTGGTGTTTTTTTGTTTTTTTCAAAATTTGTAGTTTGTTTACGGGGTTTTCGGTCGCGTCGAGTGATTTGTAAAAGCAAAAAGAAATATGAAAAAAACACGAAAAGTGAACCCAAATTGAATAGGGAGGAGCAGTTTAAAAAGCCCTTTATTAATTGAATATTTCTTAGTTGATGAAAATGGAGTATTTTTGCGGGTAAAACAATACTTAAACAAACAAAATTATTTTAATGTTTTCCGCAAAACTGAATGCTCGTCTTTAGTTTTTAGATGTAAAACACATCTATCTAATGAGATAGGATAAATACTCTAATAGAACGCCATAAGGGCGTAGTCTAACTTTGAACTTCCCGTTCTCTGCGCTGCTTTATGCTACAGTGTGCGCTTGGGTGTCATATGACAGCCCTTGAAATCTAGTATTTTTTGGTACCAAAAGTACAAAGTATAAAAAATCTAGGGGCTGAGAAAAAAATTATTTTCTAATTCTAAATAATGTTCTTTCTCCCTCTTTTGATTGTCCTAGCGGGGTTCCTCAGGGTAGTATTCTTGGTCCTCTTTTGTTTACTATCTATATTAATGACCTGCCTAACTGTCCTTTCAAATCAAAAAATTCCTCCATCTGGCTCTATGCCGATGATGTTAAGCTTACGTTCAAAATTCCCATCGGAACTCAAGTAGCTTCGCTTGCGGCTGTAAAAGATGCAAACCATGACTTAGAACTTATTAATTTGTGGGCCAAAACGTGGAAGCTTTCCCTATCCCCTTCAAAATCTCAACATTTTTCCACTGGTAAATTTAGTTTCTCTTTGGTAATTAACAATATTCCTATCAATTACATTAGTAAATTAGGTTTTGTTAGAGATTTAGGTGTCCACATCTCTCCCCCTTTTAATTTCACTAAACATATTGAAGTCATTTGTCGAAAAGCTTCTTTTGTTTCTAGCCGTATTCTCAAATCAATTGTTCATCCTAACCTAAACTCTTACCGCAAATGCTTGACGACTTATATCCGGCCCATCTTAGAATATGCTTCTATTGTTTGGTCTCCCCGCGCACAAGTCTTTATTGAACGCTTGGAGAAAATTCAGAGGAGGTTCACAAAAGTCGCTTTATGGAAAATTGACTATTCTAAATATTCTAGCTTTACTTATGAGGAGAGACTTGCTTTTTTTTGAACTAAAAACTTTACAGCATCGTCGCTTTGTCATTGATTTAGTCGAAACTTTCAAAATCCTCCGTTGTAAACAGATTAGCCCTTTGTTTATAGACTTTTTCAAATTTAAACCGCGGTCAGGGCCCAGAAGTGGCTCATTCCTTTTGCAAATTCCCTTTGCTTCCAATGCCTCTTTATCAAATTCATTTCCCGTTAGAGCCGCTAGATTATGGAACTTGCTCCCAAACGACATACGAGAAATTCAGTCGCTTTTCATATTCAAGAAACGTATCGATGCTTTAGATCTAGTGGCTCTTTGCCGTAAGTAATTGGCTTATTGATTTCAGTATGTATTGTATGATTAAGTATCACTGTGCATTTCTCTATGATTTCTTTCACTTTATCGTTTGAATAAAGTATTATTATTAAAAGAATTTAGACTACGCGACTGTACGAGGAAGTGGCATTCTATTAGAGTATTTACGGTAAGCAGTGATACAAATGAAATAATTGCAGGATCCCCGTTTGTGGAATCGTCTTGGCGCTTCTCGAGCCAACGGTGATCGAACGGCCGAAGCGGTCGGTGCCTATCGAGAAGCGTCGAGTCGGTAAATGACAGATTTTTGTTGTCTCTGGCCCTTCACTGGTTAACAAGGTAACGGAACATTTCATTTCAAGAAAGAGAAAGATATTCTGGACTGACTGAATAGGTATTTGGCATAGTTTCAGCTAGAAAACAAGATATTGATATGTTATCTTCGAGTTTCCAGCTTTTGTCTATTCTCTTGCTTTTTCTCTATAGACACAGTCCAAAGTAGTCCATTACAGCATATTTCATGTAGACTTGTAAGTCTTATCTAAACCTCCTTGTGCACCCTGTCAAGGCCATTCTTTGAACTCACCCAAAAAATCTTCCCGCAGGGGGTAGGTCGATGTGTGGCACAGTAAAAAAAGAAGGGGATTTCATCGACGCGCGAGAAAATTGCCTTCTGAATGGTGAGGAAAAGGTGTGTGGGAAAGAAAAGGGGAAAACGAAACCAGTTTGAGATGAGTTGAGGGGGGGAAGATGAATGGAGAGAAAAAGAACGAAGAAGATGTTCACATGTTTTCTTTTCTCGTCTCTTCCTTCCTTTTCCCATCAATCAAGCCTTGTACAAGCGTTTTGTTGTGTTTCTCTTTGCGCTATGTTTACTCAATGAATTTGCATAAGATTGCTTCATTTATCCGATCTGAGCTTTTCGTTTTGTCATTGTCAAATCGGATTGAACGCTTTAGAATTTCAATCTTGTGATTTCAGATTCACAGGGATCAAAACTATGGTATAGTTCTATCTTATTAGTTTGCTAGTTTCATTTTGGTCAAATCCCAAAAAGTAAAAACTGCCTTTTTTTGGTCTAAAAATACAGCATCTACAAAAAGCTATATCTAGCAATAAGCAATTGGAAATGTAATCTTCCTACCCTAACTTTTCACATTTGTTTTAATCTGGAAACTTTGGTTTGTTACATTATTGATTGTCTACTTTCAGCTTATATTTATCCTCGTATTGTTTTTTTCTACTTTATTTATCCAATTCTGTGATCTATTCATTGAAAATCAAATGTATCACTGTGCTTTACTGCCTTACTGATTGTGAGCAGCGGACAACCAGAATTTGATCAACAAAGCTCATAAGCGGAAGACAATCAAGTTGTGATTTTAAGCTTTTGTAAGCTAATTGTAAATCTTCTAAATGCTTATAAGCTCTAGAAGATCGCACTCGCTTTGGGTAAATTTGAGGGTAATTTCAACATGATAACTTTCCCAATCGACAATATCTCTTTCGGTAGACTTTTGTATTCAATAATCAAAAACACTTTCATAGTCACAAATCGATCATTTCTCTTTCAAAAGTGTTGAGCTCAATGTGTAAGCTTTAGCGGACAATAGTACGAGAGAAAGGCAATAGCTTTTTTTGCATATCTCGTTCACAACTTTCACCTACTTTTTGGTGGAAAAAGACGCCAAGAAGCATTCCAACAGTTGCACACAGGTTTTGTTAATGTTCCGTTGTATGAAACAATCAACTGTGGCTTGAGAGCTTCGTAAATTTCCTGATTTCTCTTTGGAATCTAGTACCAGTTTTGTAACTTTGATTTTATAAATTTCTAGATGAACTTTAAAACAATTTTCCTGAATTAATCAAATTCTTATACTTCAATGACTCACACTTCCATTTGCGCTCAAATCCGGTTCATTCAGAAAGTCCAAGAAATTCAGAAGCAGTTCTGCAATGAATCATTCCACTTGTCCAATAGTCACACAAATTTCCTTGTGAAATGCGCATTGTCATTGTAAAAATGGGTAGCTTTACTGTCTAAGCCTTTTGAAAAGACGAGATCAGAAGGAAAAAAAAGAGAAAGTGGCTTGAGGAGAGTGAGAAACCTTGAACTCTCACAAAATGTGTCATCGATACTAAAAGATTTTTTAGAAAAACTTTTACCTCATTGTAAAAGTCAAATTTCTTTTTTTGTTTGTTATTTTTGAATTCATTTGTATACTGTAGATACTGTAGAATTTGAGTCAAAACAATCGGAAAGTCTGAATGCAAAAATTACCCTGTACTTTAGTTAGACAAAGAGTGAAATCTTCCAGTACGATTTTAGTTTCTAAATCTTACCTTCACTTTACGAATGATCAATCGGTCTTGCCTCTGCCCCTTTTTGAACATTTCATCAAAAAGAGCACTTTGAGAAGAAAATTGCTTTATACACTTTCTAAATGACTTTTGAATGCCAAAGAAAATCTCATTGACTATATGATTTCGCATAGTTTTTTAAGGGCTTTAACGTTTTCATTTCAATCGTTTTCAAAAGTATTTATCAAAGAGCTTTTCAAATTCGTTTTTTCCATTCTCAACCCTCATTTTCCCATGATTTCCCCTTCAATCAAGTTGCATGTTGATGATGCGTGCAATATTTGGCTCTCATTTTTGACACCTTTCTTGAACTCAAGCAAAAATCGCAAAGAGTAGCTATTTTAAATCTTTGACTTTTCAAAATTCTAAATGTGTAGAAGACTCTTTTTTCTTTTAATTTCTCTTGTTTTAAAGAAAACGATACTGCAGTGTACTGTGAATTTATGGACTACTGTATTCATGGCTTTGAAGAGGACACTTCAGGCTTTCAAAGGATATAAAATAGAATCACAGTCCTGAGAAAAACGAGAGACAAAACGCTCAACTCATAATCAAATCACATTATTCTTCCGATTTAGCTACTTTTTGAGTAACACAGCGGTCTACCAATCAAATTTTATTGAGTCTACCAATCAAAGACACCCGGTTGTAAAGTTTGAGCTCTACAACAGTAAAGAAGTCCACACACTCCTGATAGAACCACGGGATTGGCAGTCCCGATAGTCTACAAGCTTACTGCACTCTTGAGCTTACTGCATAAGCCCAATACAGTCCTCCATAGACCCACAGTAACCCATCTACTGTACTCTTGAGCCTACAATGCAGTGTCCATATCCCAAACTCCCAACTTTTACTACTTTGTGCTTTGAGTTGAGAAAAATACCCACACATTATCTTGTTGGTCATTTTTCAGTCAAAGCTCCTTTTTCTCTAGTTTTCCTTTTTTTTCACCTTTTATGTTTCCATTTATGACCTGTTGTTCACCGTTTCCCTTTCCCTTTCCCTTTTCCTTTTCTGTATCGTAATTCTCGAAGACATCCCCATAAAATCTCACCGTTTTTCTCTTTTCTATAGTGGTCAGTTGGATACGAGAGAAAAGATATGCAAATTTGGGATAGATAAAATGGATACAATCAATCTCTTTTCTATTGAAATCCAAAAGAAATCCGGGAGCTAGCAAATCTGGAGCAAATCCGATGTTTACCACTGATCACCCTGATTCTCTTTGTACATTAACGTTATTAGACGTTATCTAATATCTTTTATTAGCTGAATATCTTTATGTATCCATTGAAAAGTTTGAGATATAATAATGATATAGTTTTCTACTGTAAATATTTAAATAGAACGCCCCCCATAATAGATAGCCAAATTTTATACTTTAGTGGACTAGACTTAGCTTGGAGTCAGGCACAAGCCATTCCAGGCAAGCCTAGATCCAGTCTGATCGGATAGGGGCTCGGCCTGGCCAACTAACCCATGAATCAGAGCATGAATCCCTGCACCTAATCTTGGACATCTAGCTAAACATTTTTTGTTCCTTTACAAAAGTTCTACTTGGTCTAAGTCTTTTTACATTTGTTCAGGTTCATAATTCTCCATGCTCCAATCCACTAGACAGTCAGAGTTGCCCACTTTTTTATTAGTACTGTTGAGTATCTAATCCGGTACTGATTCATGTAATGAACCAACACCATTCGGTAAGGAAATTGCTGGCAATGGCTGAAGTTTGGGTTATTTTCCGTTTTTTACTGTAGTCATTACCTTCAAATCTTGGTTTTGCGCAGAATTTTTTATACTCTACTTTCTTTCCGCTCTTCATTTCTCATTTCCCCCAGAATTTTCCGAGCAATTGCCATGAATTACCCTCACAGAAAACTCAACAAATGGCTTAAAATTCGAGAAATAATTTGCATTTTCTGAGAGATTCTCTCCCTTTCAATTTTCTCACAGAACAACAAAGAACGCAAAATTTTCTTTTTTTTACGCTTTCTTTTCATTTGTCCATTTTATTTTCGCTATTTTCCTTTTCTCTTTTTTCAAACGACCAATTTTGTGGGTGTTTCCTCGACTTTTGAGAAAATTTCCTTTATGGAACACTTGCTATTTTCTACTAAAGATCATTGTGTTTTTGTAAACAATTCACAAGTCTTCACTTCACCATATTCCATCACCGTTTTCTTACCCACAATTTGTGTTTCGTTTGAACTTTTGAGAAGAAGTAATTCTATGGTTATAGATAAAGACTTGATGATCTAGAAAGCATACCCGGGTCTGGCTTTGAAAAGTTCCAAAATCGACTCAAGTTTGGTCTGTTCTTGACCAGGTCTGGTCAGTTATTAGATATAGAAGTTAGGCCTAAACCTCGCTTCGACCTGGGATGGTCTGACTATTCTAGGGTTTGTTTTGAACATCTCTTTTGCTAAGATATGGATAACTAGGGTGATGTCTGATCCAGTTGACCTCTTGGTCACAAGCTTTAATTGCTTTGCAACTAGATGACACCATTTCCGATGGGGTAAACGATTCAATCGACTCCTTTGTTCTGTTCTCGATATCAACTTGATAACTTTTTCGGCAAGTATCAAGTTTTTGCTGTGTTGATAGAAAGAAGAGAAAGAAGAGAAAGAAGAGAAAGAAGAAGAAGAAGAAGAAAGAAAACTTTCATTTGGGTAAAACAAAAGAAATTTTCGGGCAGGGAAAAATGGTGGAGAGGGAAATTTTTGAGAGAAATTAGGGAGCAAATTTTCGAGACACAATGAAATGAAAAAGGACAACGCAAAAGGGAAAAAAAAGAAAAGAACAGACTGTAGTAACATGCCTTTTCACATTCGCTTTTTCTCTTTTTCAATTTTTGACCGTTTTTTTCCCGTGTTTGACCTTTTTCCCACTCTGGAAGAAACATTGATGGACTGACAATTCTTTTGATTGACGCCTTTGTCATTTGATTGATAAAATTCGTACTGAATTACTACGGTTTTTTCCGGTTTAGTTGTGCAGTTGGTACCCTAGATTTCTGGTCCGGCTACCCCGGTTCAGCTATCCAATAACATTTTGATTAGCTAAGTAGTTCTTTGACAAGTTCTCTGGATCCTTTGTCCACTTATCAAATTGCCCATAATACTTGAATAAGTTATCCAGTTGATATCTTGATTTAGTTACCCAATATCCTTTGATTGTCCTTTGATTGGTATTCCAATTTAGCTATGTATTAGCTAATTGGTTTAGTTACCCAATCAGTCTAAATGACTTGCCTGCTTTTGTCCAATCAATCACTAATTACTTGATTTGTTACCAAGTACTGATTAAGGCACTCATTGTCAAACCATTCTCAAACAGCACACAGGATTCAACTTTTCCCAGTTGCCACTCGGTTCAGTTACCCACTGGTCAAGTTTTAAACCCCGGTTTAATTAACCAAGTTTAATTAACCAATTAATCAAGCTGATTGAATCTAATTGTTCGCAACATTATTTCCTTGTTTTACTTGATTAAATCTTTTCTTGTGTTCCTTTTTACCCGTTTCTTTCAGGGCATGCGCCCACTGGAGCGTGTCTTCTACAAATATGGATACCTTATCGCCACTCATCCATGGCCATTCATTGTGAGTTGAAAAATTTTTTTTCTAATTTTATCTATCATCTACAGATCATTCCCACTCTGCTCACCATCATCTCCACATACGGTTTTTTGTACTTTCACTCACAGGTGAGATTCACAAATCTATAAGCAAAGCCGTCTGTTCATAAAATCAATAAAAAAACTTAACTTTGTCCGTTCAAGTTTTTTTATAAAAAATCTACAAACAAACCGTCTGCTAATAAAATCAATCGAAAAAAGCTCGATTTTGGCCGAATTAATAATCCATGGAAGAAAAGCAAGAAGAAATAAACGAATAACGGTAAATAATAAGTGAATAATGATTTTCGGAAGTAAAACACAAGTATTTCTTGGGAAAATTTAAAGCGCATAGGCTACGGTAGTTTGCGCACTCTATAAAGCGCCGACTGAACAATTTGGACTCAATGCGTTCAAAATGCTACTAGTTTTTGCTGAAATATCAAAATGTTGTTATTCTTGCTTCAAATTTTTAAAAAATAGTTGATGCACGATAGTTGCTAAGGGTTTTGCATAACTTCTACATATTCTCGTGAAGTATTACTTCAAAGTCAAGGGTTAAAATCGAAATTTGCGTCTTTTATATGTTCATCCAGACAGTATTCAATAATCAAGTCCTATTCAAAGTTATTTCTTAGAGTATTAGTGTGTTCCTCACGAGAAATGGGTTTTTTTTAAACGCAAGGAAAAATTACTTTAGGAAAAATTACTTTTAGCGAAAATTATTGCAAAAAATTGGCGCAAAAAAATGACGAGCGACGAATTATATACGACTCTTTTTAAAGATATTCAGCCGTTTAACTGATTTGGTGGCAAATCCCTTCACAAGTAAAGATATTCAATTTACGCGACGTGTAAAGAGGATTACTCGTAGTTAATCGATCAAAAACGTCGATTAATCGAGTTTACTTATTACTCATGCAAATTTTACTCGAGTAATTTACTTACTCGCGAGGGACACACTTTAATCCAAACCCTTTAACGGAGGTTGGGGACCTCCTAGAATTCCCCGGTTTCATCATGGCAACAAAACACACTCTATTATCTATTCTATATAACTTTTGTCAAGTTTCAATTTCAGGATGACATTTGGGATATCTATGCACCAACAAACGGGCTGAGTCGGGTCGAAGAGAAAGCTTTACAGAGATTCGAATATGCGAGCGCGAGTCATCATCATCGAGTGAGTGAAAAAAAAAAGAACAATATCCGGATCCTGTTTACCGCAGCTTTTCTGCTTCTTTTCTCAAGCCATAGTCACGAAAAATTCTTTTCTAAATCTCTATTTAGATGCAAATTCTGATCTCTCGAAAAGACGGCGGCTCACTGTTGTTTATGAAATATTTGGATGAAATCGATCACACTCATCATTTGATCACCGAAAATGTGACCGCCTCAAACGGGAATTCCACTTTTCGATACGAGTTTGTTTCTGAATTATCGATATTTATAAATGCTTATATAAAAAGATGATGATCTTTTAAAAAAAAAAGATGATGATCTTTTTTCAGTGAAATGTGCGGTGTTTATTGTGCGGACAGCAATGCCGGAGTGATCGCTTTTTTGAAGGTACTTTTTATGAAAGTTATGAGTAGTCATACTTTGAAACTTTAGAGTTAATATAGGAAAAAAAAGTATAAGAATTTTTCCAGGCCACTATTGAAACAAACTCCTCGCAACTCATTTTCACTTTTCCCAAAGCATCTGCTTTCAATAATGAGGTGAGAAAGACAGTCATGGACAAAAGTCTTGGCGGCTCCTGGGTGGAAACTTTCAAACGCAAATTTAGGAACCTTTCCGAGAGGCTATAAAAAAGTTGTCACAAGTATTTTTGAGCATTTTTGCTCTACTTTTAGTTATGACCAAGCATTGAACTCGAAAGTTTATTTTAAACAACAAAAATAGACCAAGACAAAGTCAAAGACAAAAAGGGTCACAAAAACAATGGACAAAAGTCTTGGCGGCTTACTAAAATAGCAGCTCTTCTAATCGCCAATCCAGCTTGAATCAAACGACGGCTAACAGTTTTTCGTGAGATAACCTTATTTGAAAGATTCTTGATGAAAGCCACGCCGTCGGTTGCTGTCTTTTGTCCATGACTGTAGGGAAATTGAATAAGATTTGATAAAAGTTTCGATATTCTTTATAATTTATTAGATTTTTGATATTTCCAGGCTTTCCTCGGCTATTCGATCGGCAATTTGACAAAAGATTCGATGGGAATTGTGCGTGAAGCGAGGATGATCATTTTGCATTATATGGTAGAGTATAATTGATATATAATTTTTATATCAAAACACTAGACACTAGAGTACTTATGCTGTATAAGATCTAAATTCTGTTGTTATTATAAATTTTCAAGCATTCTAGGTTGACACTTCACTTCTAAATGGAAAGGAATTGGCAAGGAATTTCGAGTTTCAATTGAGGAAGATTTTCGAGGTTTGTTTAGGTTAAAAATATCAATACTTTTGCTAAATGCTAATTGCTAAATGATTTCAATCCATTCACTGAATATCTTTAGATTTTGACTCGAGAAAGTCGGCATCTCGATTATGCTTTGTTGAGTCGAACGAGAGAGTTGGAGGAGCAACGGTGAGTGTACGGGGAAAGGAAAGCATCTACTGCAGTAATCTAGTAATCAGTAGAATAGATTAATCTACTGTAGACAATCATAAATACAATCAACGTCTACAGAATTACACTAATTTTTAACATTTCCAATCTATCAACAAGTTCCCAGGGCGATCTCCTTGACGGCTATCCCATATCTTTTCATCACATCAATCGTTCTCCTCGGCTTTATGTTGATCACTCTCGTCTCATTTCCACTATATAAAAGTCAACATATTGAGGTGAAAAATCGAGTTTTACAGTTGCAGTTTAGCCTGGTCTCGTCTTGCACTAAACATTTAACAAAGTTAAGCAATTTAACCCCAAAAACTTCAAATTTAGGCAATAATCGCAATCATCTCTCCAACGATGGCTCTTTGGACAACAGTGGGCTTTCTGTGGTAAGAGATTCGCTTCAAAATCCTCAAAAAAAATACTCGAGCTACTTTGGTTTTAAAAATGAAGCCGTTTAGAGAGCAAAAATTTCCCAATTTTCACTGAATTTTAGGTGGTGTGGTTTCCCGTTCTCGAACATTCTCACCGTTGTCCCATTTCTGGTGATCACTATTGGAATCGATGACGCTTTTTTGATACTCGCTGGGTGGCGGCAGAGCACGTGAGTTGATTGGCAAAGGAAATCAATAATCGTTGCAAGTTATTGTACAGTGTACAGCGATGGTACTAACTTACACGTACTAACTTACTAAAAAGCAAGTTTAACCTGTATAACTGTATAATCTATAACTAATAATAAAGAGGATCCGGATCCGTAAGCAGGTTAGAGGAAGCCAAAACCTGTCTGGCTAGAAATCACAAGGGAAAGACACCAAGTCAAGATGGCTTTTTGACTCGAGACCAAGTCCATCTTATAGAGTCGGCCATGGGGATCTTGAATCCGTTTTTAGTTTTTGCAGAACATTTCGTAAACACGAGATATTTGGCTAAAAACTAAAACAGATTCGAGATCTCCATGACCGACTCTATAAAATGGACTTGATCTCGAGTCAAAAGGCCAGCTTAACTCGATTTCCCTTGTCAGATCTAGATCCGACGGTCTCAGGAAATTGTGTGGGCTAAGTCTACAGTAAAATCAAGAAGGCCAAATACAAAGCCACACAACCTTTCAGTCTTTAGACTCATCTTGGTGAAGAATTAATTGTTTTAGCTGCTTATTTCAGAAAGTTCTTTTTGTATTTAGTGTCGGCGCGTCTTTGGAGCAACGAATGGCGGAGAGTGTGGCTATTTCCGGGGCTTCGGTCAGTGTCACTTCAGGTCAGTGTTCAGTATGTTCAAAAATACTATCTAAGATAAAATAGTTGGCACTTGTTATTTGTTAATAATTGGTAATTTTTCCACACTAATTTCCATACAACTCATCGATTAAAGTCCATGGATAAAAATGACAAAAACTTGATTGATTCGTGACTCTTTATCCACGAAAATTTGCATATGTCGTAGCCGATTATGAATGAAATTTTTGGTAAATCTTTCTAGTAGAGCAACCCTTTAATGTATGAGGACAATATTATAACATCTTGTAGCGAATTAAATTTTGCGTCGATTGGTACCAAATTTGTGAGTTTAGGTTAAAAATTACCGGCGCTACAACGTTTCATTCAAAATCGGCGGGACCCCCGTAGCCGATTATGAATGAGCGGGTCTAGGAGCGTCCAACCATTAAGTATTTGGTATCATTCAACGCAGAATCATTAATAATTATGTTAAATTTTTAAAATTAGAAAGATTTGATAAAAAGAAAAAAAATTAGAGCAAAAAAACTGTTTGTTCAAAAGGAAACTTTGAGGTCCCATAATTTTTTTTCTTTTTATCCAATCTTTCTAATTTAAAAAATTTAACATAATTATTAATGATTCTGCGTTAAATGATACCAAATACTTGATGGTTGGACGCTCCTAGACCCACTCATTCATAATCGGCTACGACACATATATGAAATGTAAACTGCATTGTAAATTTAGTGGCAAATATTCTGAGATTGTCACAAGTATCAAAATTTCTCTATTCTCTATTTTCCAGTAACCGATGTGCTTTGTTTTGCCATCGGTCTCTTCTCGAATATGCCTGTCGTGCAACTTTTTTGCCTCTACGTGACCATCGCTTTGGCTATGGATTTTGTCTATCAGGTGATAAAATAAAAAAAAAGTAATACATCAAAAATATATCAAAGATACAGTCGAACCTCTCTATAACGTAACTCACGGGACGGCTATAGCTTACGTTATATAGGTTTACGTTATATAGAGTGCCGTTTTATATGGCTTAACGTCGGCCGGGACCGGTCACGCCTTACGTTGTAGAGAGGTTTACGTTTATCGAGGTTCGTTATAGAGAGGTTCGACTGTAGTTTTCATAATCATCTTTCATCTTTCAAATCTAGCTGACTTTCTTTACGGCTTTGATGAGTTTCGTTGTGCGGCGGCAAATCACAATCGACGAGAAGCAACAAGCCAGCGGGCAATCGGTTAGTTCGCAAAAAGCTTAAAACATTCTTATTGTTAGTAAAAAGAATATCAGATATAGAAATGTATTTAAATTTCTAGAGTGAAACAAGTTCCATGCAAAAATGGCAAGAAAAGTTGCGAGATGGCTCGATTTTGTCGATGGAGACGAAGAAAAAGGTTCGAGAAATTCACTTTTTTGACTTTGATTGATTGATTTTGACTTTGTTCTTTTAGAAAACTTCGAAATCTCGAGACTGGCTGGAGATTTTCGTCGACTGGTTGCATAGCGGCTTTGCGAAAGTTCTCGTGATGACCATTTTTGGAGCACACATTGGAGTGAGTTGAGGGAACGAGCGAGCTTTCCTTCTTCCTCTTTTCTTCCTCCTTTCTTTCCCCTTATTTTCCTTCTTTCTCTTGCCAAATTAAGGTACCGTATAGCTTAGTGGTTAGAGTAATTGCCTGGAAAGCAAAAGGTCGAGAGTTCAATCCCCTCTCCGGATCGACCAAGTTAAAATCAAATAGAAATTAGAGACAAACTGGACATTTTGATCTTTGTACCGTAATCCGATTTCTATTTCGCACTAAATTTGGCTGATAAGCAAGTCTAGATAATCTCGTCATTTCAAAGAATAAAACAGATAGATAAAGAGATTTAAAAATCTTGATTTCTATCAAAGAGCTTGATTTCTATCTTCCCATATTTTCAGCTGAGCTGCTATTTGGCGACGAAAGTGAACACGGATTTCGACATGGAAAATCTCTATTTAGCTGATTCTCCGCTAACGGATATTAGTCGAAAAATGCAGAATTTTGTGTTAAAGGTAAGGTTGAAGGAAATAAACTAAAAATGGTCAATTTCCCAGGAATCTTTCATTGATAACTTTGCCGTTTATCCGATGCCCGATTTTGCGAATGAGACGGTGATTTGATTGAGCTTTGGTTAACAAAAAAAGAAAAAATTTTAGACCAGAAATCGTTTCGAGAAAATGGTTGAGAGATTGGAAATGATACCGAAATATGGTGGTGGATTGGATAATACAAATTTATGGCTGAGGAAGTACAAAGAGGTGAGCCTGAATGAGATAAGTACTCGGAAATGCACCCTTTCTGACGCATTTAAAGGGTAAACGCCAGAAAGGGTGTGTTTACTATTTTCAGGCACAAAGTATACCCTGCTTAAAAGCTTGTTTCGATAAATAAAAGCTCAAAACTTTTATCTTTAGACGGTTTCTTTTTGGGGCGAAGACGATGAGGCGTGGAATGCGGAGACTTTGCTAAACAACTATAGAGAGAACGATTTCGATGAGAAATATATCACGACTAGGTAAATCAATTTTTGAAAGTAAGATATGGACCAGAAGTCAAGCTAGGCCAGGCCAGACTCAAATTGGTTTTGCTTTTGGGACCAAATGGTTGACTTGCTTAATTTTCCAGAGCACAAAAACATGCCAGCGTATAGGACTACTGTAAATTACAAGTAAAGTACGAGTCCAACTATGATAGATCACAGAGGTTTCAACAAGTCTTTAAAACATACAATCGGACCCAGGCCAGGCTAAGACTAGATCTGGCTACTGATCAACCTAGGTACTTTATATGAGCCAGGCTCAGCCAGGCAAAGGCTAGACTAGAGCCAGGTCCGGTCAGGTTGTAGTTAGGCCAGTGATAGGCTCGAGTTTAGCTGGAATAGATACTTTTTATGGACCAGAAGTCAAGCTAGGCCAGGCCAGGCTCAAATTGGTTTTGCTTTTGGGACCAAATTGTTGGCTTGCTTAATTTTCCAGAGCACAAGAACATGCCAGAGAATAGGACTACTGTAAATTACAAGTAAAGTACTAGATAAACTTGACTATAAACTACTCTACTATAAACTATTAAACATTTATAATTCAAATCCCAATTCCAGCAAAAATCCCCAAGGAATTGAGGTGATCGACGGGTTTTTCTTCACAATTGTCTACCAAAATATGAGCTCATTTCTCGAGGTGGAAACATTGATGGAAATACGGTAGAGAAATGAATCTTAATGTAAAAGTGAGAATTATTCAGTCGAAAAATCATTTCTGAATATCCGGAATTCACTGTGCATGCACATCATCCATTTGAAAAGGTTTGTTAAGGGTTTTTGAAACGTTTAAGGGTTTGATTTGAAACGATTAATTTCCCAGGTGCCAACTGAGAGCGCCGCCGCCGCGCCCACAAATTTCATCCAAACAAGTGGTTCGTTTTTACATAAAGCTATGGGATTAAACTTTAAAGCTCAACTAAGATATTCCTGGATGAAAAGTAGTGTGACGGTTTTACTTTGGTTTACTTTAGTAGAGTCGGAATTTGAAGTTTAAATGTAAAATGACTGAATTTCTCTTAAATTTTTCAATAAACTAAAGAATATTCAGTTATTGGGTTGTCCAGTTATGAATGCGCGTTTTTTTACTATTCTGTAAATTTCTCAAGATACCGAAATCAAGAAAAAGATATATATATGAGTATTATTCGAAAGCTGAAGATCTCCTCTACATTTTGATATAAAAAGCTTTTGAATTTGTTCAGCTTTTGGGCAAATTGACTGCACAGAAGAAGAGGTGGCCAAAAAATGGAAGGGTGCCTTTGGATCAAGTTTTGGCTCCGCTCAAATTGAGTTAACCGTTTGATGCTTGGCCAATGGATATATCAATACAAGTTTTTTTCTAAATATAACAATTTCAGAGCATCTTTACTTTTCTGGGCGGTTATTTTCCACCATAAAACTTGAGGAATAGCTAAGCTGGAATGGGTTTTTCTCGAAAACGACCTCTCCCTTTGTGCAATCAATTTGCCCAAAAGCTGAACAAATTCCAAAGCTTTTTATATCAAAATGTAGAGGAGATCTTCAGCTTTCGAATAATATATAACACTCATATACATCTGTTCGATATCTTGAGAAATTTACAAAATAGTAAAAACGCGCATTCATAACTGGACAACCCAATAGTTTTATCTTATCCGTAACCCAATTTTTTTTACTTACAAATTCCAGTGTCTGCAATAATTCTGATGTCCCTGCTCGTGCTGATCTTTGTCATGAAATTCGAGGCGATTATTTCGGTGGTCATCTCGATTATCTCGATTTGCATTGGTGAGTGAAAAAGCTGGAATAATAAAGGCTTTAGCAGTGTTAATAGTGATTATTTTTAGAGTCAACTCGTTTTTAAAAACTTTTGTTATTTATTTCGCAGAAATTTCTCGGTAACTTTATATTAGTTTTCAAGAGGAGATTCAAAGCTATTGAATGGCTATAATAGTTTAGTTTATCTTTAAAAGTTCACCAAGTTATCAGTAAAACAGTTGACGATGCGACTGTACGCTCAAAATGCCGTTGTCGCGAATGTGTTAAACTGTAGGTGTAGCTCAGGCTCGGCTTAGGCTTAGGGCTTAAGTAAGCAAGAGGTCGCCGGTTCGAATTCTAACCTAAATCCATAAAACATAAAATAAGACTGACAACCGAATGACTTAACATTTCCAGGAATAATTGGCTATCTTCATTTGTGGGATGTCCATTTGGACGCGGTCTCGTTGATCTCGATTCTGATGTCAATCGGTTTCTCCGTCGACTATTCGGCTCACGTCTGTTATCATTATTTCGCGCATGCGGCAGAGGAAGAAAAACAGGTACAAAAATATATTCTTATTAGAGTTTATATTACAAAAAGCTTCAGAAAGAGAACACTCATCGCTTGACAGTTAATGGAACAAAAGAGGATCGAGTGCAAGTAGAGAAATTCGTGGACACAAGGCAACGAGTGGTTGGTTGAGGCTAAGAATAGGAATATGTAGATTTATCTATGATACATGTCATGCGGGACTATAAATAGAGTATTACTAATACTATAAGTACAGTATTAGTCAGCTTGGCCAGTCAACCAGGAAACCAGGGCTTGCAAAAAAGCCAAAAGCTATGGCTAGCCAAGTTCAAAGCCAAGCCAAGTCAAAGCCAATCGCTTTCAATTGAACTTTGTCTGAAGTTTCAATCTTATTAGTCTAAAACTTTGACTTGACCTAGAAATTTGGCTTTTTATCAACTTTCTCGTAGACCGATTAGATCCTAACGTCTCTGGATTATAAATTTTGATTCTAATATTGTAAATTACAGTATCAAGTAGTTGTGGACAGTAGTCAAAAAGCCAAGTCAATAGTCAAAACGAAGATCTTTATCTACTTTACAAATTCCCATTTTCCTAGGTGAGCACTCTTCGCGGTGTCGGCTGGCCTGTCATCCAATCGGGTCTCAGCACGGCGATGGGTGAGTGACACTAAACTTTTAAACAATAAACAACAAGAGTTTCAGGAATGTTTCCCTTACTATTTGTGCATGCTTATGTGGTAGCCGTTTTCTGGAAAACGATCCTTCTCGTATCGATACTGGGTGAGAATCACTGGCTCACCAAAAGCCGGGCCAAGCCAAACCATCAAAATACCAAAATTTGTTTCCAAGTCAAAAGTGACAATGAGGTTTCCAAAGCCAAAAGCCAAAAGTGGCTAGCAGTGGCCAAGAGCCAACAAGGGTAACTTGCACTCTAATAAACGCTCATCCTCTGGCATACCGTTTGCTGGTCGGCTCTGGTTTATACAGGCTTGTACAGACTTTAGAGTCTGGTTTGAATATTCTGCACAGTATTTTATTTAAGAAAAAAGTTAGCTAACTACTGTAACACTGTAATAGATCCAATTCTACTTGATGAATCGGATTGATCCAAAAGTTTAGGTCCAAGATAATTCATTACAAAAGGTAGCAAGCAATATGGGTCTACCTAATCTTTGCCTGTACCTACCTAATCTTTGCCTGAACCTACCTAATCTTTGCCTTTAAATCCAAGATGGTTCTAAAGCAATTTTACCTGGCATGGAGTCTAGCTGAGTGTCTCTATCTCTAACAAATCTATATCTTTAAGAAAACGATGGTATTCGTAATAGATACCAGAAATTGATAACAACTTTAAATGCGATTTCCAGGAATGTTCCATGCCCTTCTTCTCCTTCCAATCATTTTCATCTTAACCGCCGACATCAAACGAGTCTTCAGTTGTAGCAAATCGAAAAACAAAACGAATAAAGTTCAAACTATTCACCCAAATTTTATCAATACTGTTTCCTAATTGTTTTCTATAGTTTTTCTCTTTTTTTTTGCTCAATTTTTTTGTGCTTTCTTTCGCTCATCTTTCATAAAATCGTTCTTTCTTTTTTTTTGTTGCATTTCTTTCAAATTTTAGCTTTACTTTTAATCTTCTTTTTTCGCCGAATACGAGTATCAAATGAAAATCGGTGTTATCTCAAAATCACTTTTATATGTCTATTAAATAATTAAATAATTAGTGGGCTTTTTCTTTGAAAATTTTTAGCAGTACAGGTTATAGAGAATAAACGATTTTTTATTTTTGAATTTAAATTAACAAAGCGATCATAAAATCCCGTTATCTAAAAGGATGCTCTGGGAAAGCTACCGTAATCCCGTTTGTGGAAACAATGATAAGCCTAAATTTTTAAAACTACAGTCAAACTATCGACTTTTTCTTTTAGACAAGTCTAGTGGCAGAATAGGTGGCAGAATAGTACCAAAATCTATAGAACATGCTACCATTCGTTGCCTCACCGGTATTCCATATTGATCTCATCTCTAGTCGAATTCAAAAGCCAACTAAGTAGCCAACTATAGAAATTCAGTTCTAGGAACAAGCCTGATCGGAATTACCTCCATTTGAGGCATTTGCCTCAACTCAAAATAGAGATTTGGGTATGATTTTTGGTCAAGATTACGGTAGCTTTGTCCAAGTTTTAGCAGAAAAAAAATCAAATACTTGAACATGAATTTTAAAGGGCAACTAGTCTTAAAGTTTGCTTTGTACTTTCTAAAGTTTGAATTATATGAAATGGACTATGTGTAGCCTAGACTCGATGATAGATTTTTCAAAATCCAAGCTGTCTAAGACTTTTATTATCATTGCTTTTGATATCGACTCACATTCGGTCAGTGATTCATTGACGGTTCGAATGAAATAGTTGTCGAACATGTTGTGCAAACTGGCCAATTATCCGCCTAATGACCTAAATTCTTTGTTTTACTAGGTTTTAATAAAATAAAACCGTTTTATAGCTTTTTAAAGCTATTTTTTTTAAAGCTTTAAAGCTTAAAGTTTGCTTTGTACTTTCAAAAGTTTGAATTATATGAAATGGACTATATGTAGCCTAGACTTGATGATAGATTTTTTCAAACCTTTAAATTTTTTGAATTTTTTACTGTGTAACTCGGTTATTCTTGTCTACAATGTCTATTGACGAAAACAATTTATTCCAAAGTGACAACGAGAACAAGATGATCGTTTTTGAAATGGAGCTTAGGGCTTTGGTGCCTGGCCGGGTCTTGGAGCTCCGGGTCCACCGCCGGGACGAGGCCCAAAGCGAGGTGGAGGATTGCGATCTTTGCGAGCCTCTCGTGAGCGATTTCTGACGACTTTGCTGTGGATGGCACACGCGACACAGTACAACAATTTGTGGTACAACTTTGGGAGAGCGTATTCTGAAATTTCTCTTTGAAGTTTTGCGATGCTTTGGCGACGAGAAGTGATCGTTTCACTGCACATTACCCTAGCGGTCATCGGCTTGAAAAATCGAAGGTTTTGATTGATAAAGGTTACAGTAGGCTATTGATTAAAGCACAGTAATCGGACTCTTACAGTATTCTTGATTACAGTATTCTTACAGTACAGCCTAGCCAATTCCAGAGCCAAATCAATCATCCTAGCTACTGAATATTTTGTTTCAGTTAAAGAATTGAACTAACAATTCCATCTTACCGTTAGTTTGGTATACTGTAGTGTGAGACTACGGTATAAAGCTCATATTTGACTATATAATTCCGAAAAACAGCCTACCGCTCGATTTGTGGGTTTTCATGTGTGTGAACCGACCTCTCGCCTGCGTTCACTGCCCCTTTCAATCCGCACACACAAGGATTGTAAAGGACTCACGCTCGTAGACTGACGCCTCGGAGAGATCCCGCACGGCGGCCGCTTCGACAATGTTCCTCACAACCATCTTTCTAATCGCCTTATCCTTTGGGCAGCAGCGGCCACAGTTCGTGCAACGGACGAAGCGCACGTGTCCGCGGCCCTTCTTGTTGCGTCCGTGATTGCGGCGTTTCACCGTCATTTTCTCTCGTTAACCCTGCAAAGTTATATGCAAATTTTTGTTTTGAATAATCTCTTTTCACCAAAAATCTCCTTCAATTGAAAGATGAAAGAAAGTTGACAAAGATATGTAGAAATCTTAGAGACTAGGGTCAATGAAAGTTTGAAAATCAATTTGTTTGACTTTTAAAAATGAAAAACTTCAAGGAAAAATTGGGTATAAGATGCAAAAAGAAAGATAAAAATTATGAAAAAATGAAAATTTTAGGAGCCTAGGATTTTAGGGGAGAAATGCTTTTTTGCGGGTGTTCGACGGAGCCTTGTGTCGCGGCGGGTGCCCTGGGTTACGGTAGAATGGACAGGGAATAGGGAACGGCAAAGGCAAAGGAAGTGAAATAAATCTAATATTTAAAAGCTATTAAAAGCAGTATAGACTTGGTTAACGATTGATATAGTATCAACATAGAATATTGACTTGACTAATTCGTAGTCAACAAGTTATAAGTCCGGATGCTATTGACGAGAATTGAACCCGAACTTAGTGACAAAATAAGGTACAAGATAAACTGTAGAGGTGTAACAAGATAAACAAGATAACCAGCAAAACTTTATTGTTCAACATTTAGAATCATTTTATTGGCACGGCATTTTTCTGACACAGTACAGAGCCACCCCAGAGGTACCTAAGAGAAGTTAGATTTTTAAAAAAACAGCATTTAAAACCATTGTGGTGAGTGCGACCAGGTGTAATCAGTGCCGAGTTCTGAGGCTAGAATACCCTCGGGTGGGTCCTCGTAGCTGAAATTTGGATGTAAAACTGATTTGCATACAAGGGAGGTTCACCAAGCTACCACCGGGTTTTAAAACGAGATCTAGCTCATCTAGACCAGTTTTCGACGCTGTCCGGATCTGCAGTCAAATCTACCCCGTAGGGCCTCTGAAGCCGTAAAAACGCATTTGATTTTATGCAGGGAAAATTACAAAAAAATGACCGCCACTTGACTTAAAACGGGCGGTTAGAGGCCGTCAAGATGTGAGCTTGTCGTATACTGGTAGTGCGCTGGGCTCTCACTTTTTCAATAGCTGCTTCGGATCCGGCTGCAATCACTTTTGTTTTGCTTTGCAGTTTTAGCATAACTTGTTTGAATTTCTTTTTTAATCTTGACGGCCTCTAACCGCCCTAATCAAATGCCTTTTTACGGCTTCAGAGGTCCTACGGGGTAGATTTGACTCCAGATTCGGAATCAGCGTCGAAAACTGGTCTAGATGAGCTAGGTCTCGTTTTGAAACCCGGTGGTAGCTTGGTGAACCTCCCTTGTAAGCAGGCAATAAACGCAAGCCATCTAGCGCACAAAAATGAATGCAAATCTTGATGTCAATTTTCAAAGCAATAAAACTTTTGACTTTAGAAGTCAGTAGATTTTTTTTGTTGCAAATAGGGTGTGCAATAAATCAATGAATGATTGATAAAAGGTATTCAATCATTTCTCTCTCTTTTACACTCACTCATCCCAATTGAAATAGTCAACGGGCGATCCATCTTCATAAAACCATCCACCTTTGTTCTCCTCATAAAATAATCCAAATTCGATGCTATCTAAAGAAATATTGATTGTTATTTCGCGTAAAATAATTTTCTTTCTTCCATGATAACTTACATTGAAGTTTTCTATTGTAAACTGTATACCGATCTCAAGACTGGTGTCTAATTGAACTGAACTATAGTCAGATGTAATTCTGTATTCGGGTCTTGGCCGAAAACCGGGTTCGATGGTCTATAACTTCTCCCCCAGCTAATAATACTGTTAATTTTTATATCGTTTTAACGAGAACATTCCAAGCTTTCTAATGACACCAAATACAATAATTGGATAATCACTCCACTCCAGGAAAATTAAAGCCAACTCTGAGCAATACGGCATCCGATCCAATTGCTTGGTTGCTTGGTATTGCTTGGTTTTTATAAGGATAGATAATCAAGCTGTATTTGGTTCTGGGAAGCAAGAGATTCAAACTTTACAGTATCTTCAACAACGAGAAAAACAAAACCCATCCAAAACCACTTAACCTAATTTCCTAATGGAGCTTTTGATTAGATAAGCAAGCTCTTGAGCTCATTTGGTTTCTAAAGCGATGTTACACTGGGCTTGGCCCTAGAACTGAACTATAGTCAGATCTTATATTTCAATTAGTAGTTCAGTTATATTTTAACTTACACTCAGCCAGCGACGCGTTGATATTCCTAATGAAATAGTTCTCCAAGCCACTGTGAATACTCCCGAGAGTTGCATTCATTTCACTGAAAAAATTTCACTTTTTACCTTCAAATCTCCTTCAAATCATTTACCGACAATGCGCGATTCTCGTATTGAATTGTCCCAGCGGGATGATGTCAATTTTGTAGCATTTCTCTGTGTGCTAAATTGTTTTCTGTAGGATTTATGAAATGTGCATACATTCCAGTAGGTCCAATCCGGTTCACAACCCATCGGCTCCACATAAGCGGTCGTTTGAATGGAGCTTGCTGATTTCGAGCACACCGCAGCTCCTCCCCAAATCAAACTGAACGTTTTTGATCTTATTTTTTTTTGAAAAACTTCAGTGGATAGTTTCCAAATACGTTTTCCCTTTTTCTAAAGTGTGAATAGTTTCCAAAAAAAAGATGAAAAGAGAGCAATCAAGTACAGTTTGATGTATTTGTTTCAATCATTTCGACTTTCAAACTAACTTTTGCTTATCGTAGTACCAAGTGTAATCTTTTTCAATGCTTGAGGCCAATAAACCCTTTGGCGGATCTTGATCTCTAAAATGAGAAATTTGTAGAAGTTATCCCTATTTTCTCATCAAAGACTAACGGTTGCCAATTAAAATAATCAGCCGGCGATCCGTCATCATTGTAAAAGCCCTTCTCATCTGAATAAAATAGCCCAAACTCCAAGCTGTCTAAAACTTTTGTTATCATTGCTTTTGATATCGACTCACATTCGGTCAGTGACTCATTGACGGTTCGAATGAAATAGTTGTCGAACATGTTGTGCAAACTGGCCAAATATCCGCCTAATGACCTACATTCTTTGTTTTTACTAGGTTTTAATAAAATAAAACCGTTTTATAGCTTTTTAAAGCTATTTTTTAAACCTTAAAGGGTTAAAATTCCATAAAAGCAGTTGTTTCAATTGTTCAACTGAATATCTTTTATCATTTGGCTGAAAATGTTTAAATCTAAGGCGGAATTTGCCACCATAGGGGTAGGCTAATTTCCGCAAATTTTCTGCGCAACAGGTTCATTGGCGCAACTCGCCATAACTTTCTTTTAAGTGGATCAATCTTTATGATTTTGGTTTCATTTTGTAGATCTCAATAAGTGCAACAAAATTGAACCAAAAGCATAAAGATTGGTCCACTTAGAAGAAAGAAATTTATGGCGAACTGCGCAAATGACCCTGTTGCGCAAAAAAATTGCGGAAATTAGCCTATCCCGCCATCATCTCACCAGTTGAAATTTCTAATTTCCCTTGCAAAAACGTTTTTATTATTTTTTTGTTTTCTTGTTTTCTTTTATTCTATAAGTTCTTTATATTTTAGGTATTCGGAGGTGGAAATGGAAACAATCCCCATTCGGGTGCTCTTCTTTGGGAAAGCGAGAGAAATCGTGAAATGTGATGAGCAAAGTGAACGCGTGCCCGTCGATGCCGACTATCAACGACTCTTTAAAATGATATTCGAGGAACGCTTCCCCGAACTTAAAGTAAGGCTTTGGTGTTTTTAAAGAACATGCTTTAGAAGATCAAATTACTTTAAGTTGGTAGATGATTTGTGAGAGTTAAATAAGTTTTGGGCATAATCGATGAAAAGCTCGGCATTTAGTTTTAAGGCAATAGTATATCTTCAGACTCATTTGCAGCAAATTAAAAATTCAAAGAAGCATTGACCCCTGATTATCTCAAAACTGGATGGGCATCAAGGTTTTGAAGTGCGAACGCATATGAGTTGCACTAGCCGCGGTTTATGCCTTTGAATGATTTTATTAGTGCAATTATTTTTAAAGCAAAATCAGGCAAAAACAAGAGCTAAAGGCAGTTTTAATATTGCTTTCTACGCTTATTAATGGTTTCTTTTTAGGAAATCGCTTCATCGTGTATGCTAGCCGTGGACCAACATTTCTGCCGGCCCGATTCAAAGGTTGAACTTTATCCGAATTCCGAAATTGCCGTCATCCCACCACTTTCCGGCGGGTAACTTAGATGGGTTTTCATCCCTTTCTAGTTTTTATTTTATATTCGTATGCACTAGTCATTCTAAAATCTACTTGTCATGAATTCTCTCGTCAAACAATTGTCTTTTCGAATTTTTTGTTATTTTTGGATGATAAAACTTAATAATTCGAGGTATGAGTAGAAAATGAGTGAACCTGCAATGATCGATTCTTGTCGTGAAATTTCCGGCAGGTACAACTTCAGCTCTATAACACAAGCCGGATCCCTGTATTTTCATGAGTGTTTTTCAAGCGATCGACTCTTACGTCATAATATTTCCATCCAGGATCACAGGGAGAATCGGCTGATCTACTTATAGGAAAAATAATTAGAAGGAGTAGAAAATTTCTCATGATTTTTGAAAATCAATTAGCAAAAGAAAACGCCATCACTTCAAGTTGCAATCAATTTTTTGAAGCCGATTATGTGCGTCTTTAATTTTTCACTCTCAACTCTGAGAGCATTATGGTTTCAGGATTAATACCACAAAGGGTCCAAAACAACACCTCATCAGCATTCTAAAGGGTTTAGAGTTTTCCAGTATAAGTTGATCATCGATCAGCTTATTGTCACCAAAGGTGACGGTGGTTCATAGAATCGTTCGCATGCTCTGCTTATTTGTGCCAATTGTGTACGTTGAGTTATTTTCTGCAAACCATTCTCTGATCATCGTTTTCATTTCGGGGTGTGGTCATTGAGGGCATCCATTTCCCCTCATTTCTGAAAGTTTGATCCCATGACCGTTGCGTGCTTATTTGCTGAGCTATCGAACTGCGTCCCGTCGGCGCCAAGAGGGCCCCCACGAAACGATCATCGAGAGGGAAAAGCTGTATTTCATTCTTTTTCACTTTTTTTGTTAATCAAACGCGTGGCGAGACATTGGAGCCGAGGAATTTGATGAGCTTTGGAGCCATGTGAACTTGAGGAAAACGTTTGATGATGTGTGAAAAAGAGATTGGGATGGGTAATGGACTTTGTTCTCTCCAAATGAGTCTACAAAGTTTCAAGTCCGCTAAAAGCTTAAGTTTATAGCTCGTTTATACTTTGGATACATAAAACTGGAAAATTATCAAGAATCCCTTAAATTTGTTAACCAGTCATTCACAGAATCGCTTTTTTTTTCAAAAGAATGCTATCGCCACATTTTTTGGGGAAAAACTCTTCAAGCAATATTTTCTTTTTCAAAGGTATTAGTCAGACAGAATGAAAAGTTGTTTTTGTTTCGAAATGATTTCATTGAAAAGGTTATTTTTCTTGCTTCAACGTCTTGACTAATGCTATTTTTCACAGAATCATTTTAATCATTAACAGAACACACTTTTTGTTTTTAAATCATCATTAAAAATCATCAACAGAACACACTTTTTATTTTTAAATCATTTTAAAAGCAAAATTTTGCTAATCGTGAATTTCAAAGCGATACCAGAAAAAATGGCGAGTAATTTTTTTTGTTTTAAAGAACACCGGAAACGAGATAACGCTGAAATTGTCCAATTTCTTTTGTTTTTTCGATTTCCGGTAGCGTTTTGCATGAATAGATAGGAGTGAGCCTAAAATACAGATCCGGTGGTGGGTGGTTGCGGTAAATAAAGACAAAGTTACACAAAAGAATCGAGTGCGCTAGAGAAGCTGCGTTTATACTTTCCGAGCACACAGCGAATCGATCCCGAAAACCGATGCTCAAGTCAAACTTACAATTAGAGACTATCCAGCTTTCCTAGAAGGCATATTTTCTAGTTTTGCAAGTCCCCGAATGATTTTTAATGATCATTTCTTCTGTTTTCTTTTCTTTCCGATTCACAGCTGTTTACGTGAACATTGCTCGTCAAAAATGAGAAGGATTTCCCTCAAGACTATGCAAACAATGAAAAGCGGGCAGCTATTTTTCTCGGATTTTTTCTAGTGTACCCCTGAAATTTTTCCTCAAATTCACAAACATCACATGGTCGAAATGTTTGAGTATTGTTTGAGATAAGTGTAAAATAACGATTATCTCTTTTTTTTTTGGGCGTGTATCACATGGGTGATTTGAACCCGAAATAGAGAGGCTATAGGTCAGGGGAAAGCCCTTCAAAAGAGAGAAAAATTGTTTATGTCCTTTTTGTCTTATCAATTTTTCCCTAAAATTTTCGCATTTTTTTTTAGGGTCGACGCGAGAAACGTGTGGAAAATTTGAGACTCGTTTTCCGTTTTTCTCGACATCGTGGCTGAAATCAGAAGATAACAAATATTCTTGTGATATCTGGAAAAAGGCCAAATGTTTTCAAAAAATTTTCCCAAGTGATCTATTGATCAAAAAAGAAGGGAAAGAAAAGGGTTGAGAGGGGAAAAGATGAACCCGGAAATTGGGAGTTGAAAAGATGTTTTAGAAAAGAAAATGAGCAAAGTGAACTGTTTGAACTGAACTATTGAAAAATCATTATTGAAACTAGATAGAAATCATTTGAATGAATAGTTTCTGGAAAAGGTAAAGTTCAAGAATCAAAAAGGTTGCTTGAATTTCGTTGGTTCAACCTAGAGTCGTTCAACCTAGATTTCTACTAGTTTCTATGGATATTCCATTTATTACGACTTTAAAACTTGTAAGACAGTCAGCTTTTGAAGCTTTCAACTATTACGGATCTCTGGAAATCAAATAATTCATACTATAACTATCTAGTTTGAGGTTGATTTTTGAATTCTGAAATTGGAATTTTTGTCAATTTGTTTAAGGATCGATGACTATTCACATTATTTTGTTTCAACAAAAGATTGAACTTTTAAAACTTGAATTCCTGTCTTTGAATATCAAGTTGAACACTTGCATGCTAATGTGATGAGCTTTTGATTCTCCAAATAAAGATTATCAATTTTTTTTATTTTAACATCATAACATCACTATTAAAGCTTTCAAAAATCAAGAGTTCAACAATCGAATGTTGAATGTGATGTGATATGCACGCTGCATTCATGTGTCTCATCTTTTGGTTGTTTGAATTGAAATCAGTCCCTCTGTGAGACTATGATCAACGAAACTTAAACGATTCAAAAATGGGAAAGAGAAACGGTTTATGGATTTTAGGAAAAGATACACCGATTTACGAGTCGTTTCGGATTTAGTTGTGGAGAAGGGAAAGGGGATTGGCGAGGTGAAATGATGTGGGTTTTTCGAAGGGAAGAAGGGGGAAACGATGCAAAGTGATGTCAGTGTCAAATCCTCTTTTTTTTCGTTTTTCATCCCTCCATTAACCTTCATAAATTTCGAGTGAACTTTTGAATCACTTTTAGATTCAGCGACACAGTATGCTGATGGGGTGAGCGGGAATAGTTCACGGGAAATGTTTACCTGAAATATTTACCTGAAATGTTTACCTGAAATGTTTACCTGAAAGGGGATTGTTCTTTGCCACTGATTGTTGTTCACCACAACTTTGCCAGCTGTCAACAATCATTTTTCAAATACGAATTGCAATTTCATTCTTAGCTCTTAGAATGAGAAAGCTGAAGTATTGCTTTCAATTTCCCAATGAGAAGGCTATTTAAGGAAGGAGGAATTTAGAAAAACGAGACGGAAGAAGAGAAGAGAAAATGAGAAAGCTCATTGGCATTTTAACGGTGGAAAAGGGGAGAGGCTAAAGTGGGGGAAGGGGGGCAAAGGGATATCGGGGCTAAAGCTGGAGGCTGATGAGGTCATTCAAAGCCTCCCCCTCCCCTTCTCAGGTCCACCCTCTCCTTCCATTCTAACGAATAAAAAAAGCCCAAAATAGCCCAACGTCACTCAATTTGCATAAATTATCTAAAATGCGTTTACTTTCGTTTTCTTTCGTTTTTAAATTTCTAAATAACGACTCTTGAAGTCAAAATCCATGTGTTTCAAGTAAAATTAATTTTCTAAAGAAATTTTCGGAAAACTATCATAATCTTGTCTCTAGTTTTAAGAAAAAAGCAAAGATTTGAATAAAAGCAAATAAGAATAGACTATCGTAAATACCGCAATAGTACATCCTATAGGAGTGTTGCGTAGTCTAAGTTTACTCTCAAAGAAACACTTAGATCTTGACTGATGTCGCGCAGAAACTAACGTACTGATGTACGTTGTTTCTGCGCGCTTACCGTAAATACTGTAATAGTACCCTACCCCCATAATGATGGTGCGGAATGTTGCGTAGTCTAGCTTTAAAGGAGTTTTTCTCGACACTGGTTTATGCTACAATGCGCGCTTAAATATCGAAAAATAGCCCTGAATTTCAGCTATTTTTTGATACCAAATACGAATTCTTTGAAAGTACAGGCGCTTTGAAAAAAATGAAATACTAAAAAACTTTTGCGACTACGCGACTGTACGAGGGGGGTGGGGTCCAATTACAGTATTTACGGTAGGTATCAAATTAAAGTAGAGAGAGTGGGTGTTTTTTGAGATATAACACATATTTCTTAGCATTAACCAGCGCTTAGAAGAAAATTATTGAAAAATTATGAAAAATCGGCTTTTTTTTCCACTATATTTGATCATTTATTGAGCTAAGCCTTCCATAAAACTGAAAAATATCTAATATTTTCGTTTAATAACCCAGACGAGGTGCGTTTAACTGCTCTGCTTTGCACGGAAAGTACATGCAACTTTTGCTCGGTCAAAATAGATTAGAAATTTTGATAATTATAGGCAAACTTTTGCAATTTTCTCTTTTTTCTGACCTTTTTAATTAACAATTTCGTGAGTTCACTTAAAATTTTTCCTCTCAGAGGAAAGAGAGTTGATTTAAAAAATTCATTTGAGGAAAGGGGGAAATTTCCAGGTTTTTTCGTATTTCATTTCAGTTTACTCAAGAGTTTTGAGATTGAAATTGACATGAATCTATGAATATTCAAGGATTCGCAATGACTTTTTCATTAAGCTAGGTAGTTTTTTTAAAAGTTTAAAAGTACAAAAATTAGTCATAAATTTCGGGGAATCCCTAGATTTTCGTTTTTTTTTTCCTTAAATCGGCCTTTCGGGAAATC